GTAAAATGAATTCACTTGATTTAAATTGCGTGATGGATTAACATTCAAGAATACGTTTCCGTCATTTTACGTTGCACAAGTGTAAAGCGGGGCTAGTACTGGAACATTGGCCCTCGTACAATTAGATCACCACATCGGGGCTCCTATAATGTCTAACAGTTTTATCTTGAAGACAGATAAACTCCAAGAAGTTATCGTCGTTTTGTAGTGTGAATATTAACGTATTTAAATAGTGTTAAAATGACAAGATGGTATTAGGTTAAAAAATACAATTCAATGTTCTCTTTTATTCCTGTCTAGTTGGTTTTTGAGAATTATGCTTTTTTTCCCTTTCAGGCGATGAGGTATTCTTGGTCGCTTTTATTCAACCTTCGCATGTTTACAGTACTCCGCAATTGATACATTAACTGTGCAAGATATCCAACTGCGTCCACGTATGCTAGATCATTTGAAGTCAGAAATTGATTATTTATAATATTTCGTCGCTAAAATTGTTCTCACCTTATATCGGCATAAACTTTCGATGCCTTAATAATGAAACCCAAAAAGATTTGCCTCCGTGCACCAACCTGCTCGTCCTAATCGAGGTGATTTGGGGGAAATTCAATCAAAATAACAGAGGCCTTTTTGCTCAAGTCTTGACACATTAATTTTTTCCGATTTTTTCCTGGCGTGTTAGTGGGGCACACTTTTGCAACGTTAACAATTCTGTTGAGGTAAAACCTTGCATCGAATAGCCTAAATGTCTGCTCAAATAATTCAAAAGGGTTTTCATTTTAACAAAATTCTACATAAGAAAATTATAATTAGGCACGAGAATTCCGTTGAATCGCATTGCTGTCTCAAGAAAAGTCCGCAGTTACATTTTATGTGTCATTAAAGTGTCGGGTTTACTTCTTAACGTTTGACGAGTCTGTCACAGGGAGATAACTTGTTCCCGATTCCTCATTTTCCTTGTTTATAAATACGTGCTACTGACAGAAATAAGTACACTTGACAAAACCTCACGTCTAGACTTGAAAAGACAAGCAAGCACTATTTGATATTTTCTACATAAATTAAAAGGGTTTGGTGCTGCTGCCATTTTACCTGATATCGGTAATCCTGACAAATTCAGTTTTATATTGCGTGGCGTGGATGCAACCGAACCCCAAATCGAAGTAGTCATTACAGTTAGAGTTCGGTGTCGTCTAGGCGACTCTCCGTTTGTTGCAATATTTTTTTATTAATGCTTTGTAAATCATTCTATGAGGCGAACTATGGACTATGTGACTGGCCTCAGGACTATGCATTGCGCTTGTACTACACGAACACGCATTGGTCTTGCAAAAAAACAATGTGACGGTAGATGAGCAATAATGTCAAATAGGTAAATCATGCTTTTGTGGTTTGCATTTGATTTCACATTTTTCAACGATAACTTATTTTTGGGAGTTAGGAATCAGGGAGAACATCTGCGTCTTCTTTGTGCCCAAAATAAGCGCATTAACATCGCAAAATAAGATTAATTGAACGGCATGTGCCACTTCAAATGCCCATCAGGTCATATGCACCACATCGGTGGTGTGTTTATTAAAATTTGCCATTTTAAAGTCTAACCAATGACTCCTGAATGTTGCATTAAATCACAACAGAACTGCACTTGCATTAAATGTACACTTACACGAACTACAGGACAGAGTGTGAGCATGCTTCTTTAACCAGAATTAACTCCGGATGTAAGAAAATTGGTTCCAATAGAATGTTAACTCGCGGATTACGCAAATTTGTGCTACCTCTCTCTGTGTTTACCAGTCCCAAACTAATTCAGTACCTGTTAGTATATCTGGCTTTTTATTAAGGGGCGTTTGCCACCCAAAAATAAGTAATCAAAATTTATTGTTTTATCAAAAATGACAATTTAAAAATACAAGCTAAGTGGTAAAGTATATTACTGAAATGTCCGCACAAGTCTAAAACAAGAAAACGAAATTTTAGTGTGGGAAAATCCTGCTTAGATTAAGGATGTTGTTTGAAACTAACCGTGCGGCACAGCATGTTAGTGTTTGTTAAGCAGGTTTAAAATAGGTAATTCAACTCACCTGCATTATTGATTACCCTTCCTACTATAAAATACCATCAATCACAGTTTACTTGCCGAAATTGACGAAATTGAAAGCAGTAACTACCAAAACCCGATTCTGGACTTACTTGTAGGTCAACTTTGGTTTGTATAAACTAAAATACGCCAAGCAGACAGTGCAGTTATACCATGAAACCGTTAAAAAAACTAAATAATTAAACATGCACCAATGAAAATTCTGAGTTTGCCTCGTGTAATTGTAGTAAAGACACAGTAATCTATCTAAGTCTTCAAAATTAAAGTTGCATAATGTTGATAAAGAAAGACAGTCTGATATTATACCCTATCACACTGACATCCTCTTTTAAATTATTTCTTAAATCGAATCAAATTTTTCGAGTAAAAATACACATCAAGTTTTTATGTGTAATAATGATTGCACGAGAATAAAAGCAAAAACACAAACTACTGAAAACAGTTTCAGCAAATGTTTTTTTCATTTATTATTCTTGGTCGTTTGAAGTTAACAACTAACGTATGCATTTACATTAAGTAACAACGTAGTAGTTATAAATATCACAATTAAATTGGTTTGTGCTGCCAGTACACATAGAATCTTGGCAGTGCATCTCTAAATAGTTGTAAAAAGCGTTGTTTTAGGATTCGAGCTGCCGATTTTGAGAACGCCAGATTCCCGAGGTAAATTCAGCGGTCTATGACACTCATAACTCGACCGGCTACTCTATCAAGTAAGAAGCTTGTGGGCGATTAATTACGCAGGTCGTAGTTGAAATGTTCGCGGGCGAACGATGCTGAGAACAGACATGAATTCACGCGTACCACCTCATAGTTAATTGTTGTAAAAGATTACACTAAAACGTTGAACGTATTAAGTTGAGCAACTTTATTCGTCATCAGAATGAACACCACGGATAACAATGAGAGTACCTTAGAATAACAAAGAGAGGACATACGTTGCACAAACCTTGTCAGACATGTTTGCTTGCTACTTAGATGCAAAGTAGAGACCTCCAAAATTGTACCTTAAAAGTTACGAAATCTCAAAAACTGCCAAAAGCGTACATGTCTCTATAAATTTAGCTGATGTTGCTCGCAATTGTAGGGCACAAAAGTGGCAGTAAGTGCATTTGACCGTTTCTTACTGACACAACTTTAAAAATGGCAGATCATGTCGTAAGTTTCTGGTCTTGTAGAGCTCATGTGTAAAGTTTCTAAGCAAACTCCACGGAGTAACGAAAGCGATCCTAGCAGACTGAAACAAAGCCTACTTGCGGACTGTTTAATGTACATTTTGATAGCCGTACACCTTGAGGATTATTCCAGTTGGTGCAAATTGTGTGTGATGACAAATGAAAACGCTTAATGATTAAAAATGCATTCAAAACCTGTCAAATCGGATGACTGAGATAAAAGCTGTCTGTCAAAACTTACTTGGGGAAATCGTCGATAAAGTACTCCGGTGGATACAGCGCGTCGATCAGGCGCTTGAATGATGGCCGAGAAAATAATGCAAGAGTCAGTGCAAGTGCTAGCACGACGTAGGAGGTTGCGACGGTAGCTGTTGCTATTACGAAATACGGCATCGTTTCCTAACGAAAATAAAATAGTTTGAGTCATTTGTTGGACCATTTGACATGAGGATTTAAAATCAAGGAAAACTTCAAAAAATAATAATGTTACTTACTAGGATTTTAATGCAAATTAAACAGTTGCCTAGTCGTTTGTCGGAATTTGCGCAGCGTTTTTGTGCCGTGGCATTTCACTTAACTCAATGAATGTTTTAACCAATGGACTGCGCGCATTTAACGCGGCTTTGAGCACTGCGTCAAGGCGGCACTTTAGTATGACCTTGATGCATTGATTATCTTGCGTAAAATTAGCGGACTTCGCACCATCACAGAATTGGCATATTTTTAGAAGAGTTAAGCATAACAGCTTTTTAGTAGCTATTGCAACATGCTTTCCAAGGCTCATGATAGTAGTTGAAAACTTCATAAGAAGTTAATAGCGTTTGGGTTAAAAATTTACCAAGTAGAATTTTCAGAAATTCGATTGGTCGTAAATTCAAAATGTGGCATCTGACCAATGCATGCATCGTGCAATTACTCTTGTCATGTAAACAGATGTGTCCACGTTCTCTCCTACCTTTTTTCTTTATCGCGGGTATCAGGGAAGCGTAATCGGGCCGGGGTTAATTCCATGGCCCCGGCGTGGTTCAAGACCACATGCTAGGGCCCACAACACTCTCATTAAATAACGACCAAAATAAATCGACAATTAGCTCTGAATTCGCATTCAAAAGATGCTGCTTTAAATAACTCCTTTTTAAATTTGAAAGGCCCTTTTCTTCTCAAGTTAAGAGACAATGATAGTAGTATCAACATTTTCGAGGACCAGATTTCCTTCAAAATGATTCAAAAATCTACCTTGCTTTAAAAAGTTAGCGTCAATGCGGGGTACACCAGTTTTATCAAACGAATCATTGCTTTATACACGAAGTTATTACGTTTTAAAGTAATACACAGGTTTGTAGAAGCCAGAGAGGCCATTTTAACCTCATAGAAGGGCTGTATTTTCTGCGTTTGATTATTCTAGCATTGTATATCCATTATTGTTCAGTAAGGTATCGCTGTAGTCCTAATGCGTTTTGCTAAGTTCGGGGTTTAGAAAAGCATCCAGGCGGTTTTACTTGGTAACTAAAAAATGAGGACCATAATCTCGTTTTCCCAATGGACAAAACATCTGCACCACAAAAGCACATCCATGACATTTCCGTCAACGACATATAGTTTATTAAGGATGAATCTAAGTTGAGGAATCTGAAGCCCAAATTCTCAACTAAACAAATTCTGATTCGTCAAAAGAAAACCCGGCATCTGAACGGCAAATATTTGCCGAAAAATCTACAAAAATTATGTTCCTAGCATAATGCTAAAGCCAAGTAAGCAGAACATTGCGTTAAAGAACAAGTTAACCCTTGTATCACACTGTGTCTACCAAACTTCCTCCTGATATCTTAAGTGCACGTTTTGGTATCATTAAAGGTTAGCTATGATCAATTTTAGGAGGTATTGAATTACTCTTAATATAAGCTTAAGGTTAATGTAAATGAGAGCACATGGATTACTTTAAAAAAAATATTTCCAAAGTACTTTCTGTGGTGGCAAATTTTAGCCTTCAGGTCCATATCACGTCTATGTCCTTAGCCTGCGTCAAACAGCCAAAATATACGCATTTGGTTGATTCACGACAACGCCATCCACTCACGCAGTTTGCACAGTTTCATGGTTATGAAATTCCGTTCCACTGAAACGCCTTTGACGTAAAAGGAAATGCCGTCAAGTAGTGCGTCGGCAGATGTGACTTGTAGCCCGCCTTAATGGGTTCAGGCTTCATTCTCTGTCTGTTTGAATCGTTTATTAACAGCAAAATTTTACTGAGGATAAGGACAATCCAATCACCTGCGCGCCTCTCATTATTCCATTATTCCCAACATCATCGGCCCAGGTCTCAACTTTGTTAATCTACTATTATTGTCTACTACTACTACTATCAACCCTAGAATTACACATACAAGAGTGTTAAAAATGCATCACCTTGGCGAAGCAAGGTCTGAAACGCATTATGCATGTGTCTATGTCCCCTAGCAAAGCAGGGTTTGAGTTATCCAATGTGAGGGCAGCCGTTGTCAAGCCGCGAAACCGCAGCACGCTCTTGCTGATGAGCCGTATTTAAGTTGCGTAGTTAAGCAGCCCTGGGTGCTGGATGGTGGGGTGATTTGGCACGAGGATTCTGTGGATTGATGAGCCCCCCGCAATGCTACCGCCGTCTAGCATGACTGGCAGCGTTTGTTTTCCCTCCTCCCTGTTTGGCTCTACTCCTGGTTGCCTATAGCCTGCTCCAAATTGCCACTTATCCTTGGCAGTAGCAGCGCTTAACAAGCACACTGGTTTGTGGAGTTAAGAGACCCTATGCTGCGTAGGCAAATTGAAAGCACTTATGTCTTCTATTTTTGCTTTACGCAGCACCGACGCTTCCATCTTTAGACGTGTGTTTATTGACTGCTGGCATTCCTATCACAGTTCTGACTTGGTTTAGCATCCACGTTCTTCTAAAAGTTCATTCAAGCGGTCTTCCTAGAAGCCAGTAGAGGTGTGTGTGGAGAGGGAGTGGGTGCGCCAGGACAGTTATATTTGCCCATTTCTAACTTGAGTAACGAATTAAGTGCCACCCGTTTCTTCATAATTTTGACCACAAATTTGTCGAAAATATTCTCCCCACGCTATATTTACAAGTAACTGGTCAACCGAGTCTGCTATTCGATGAAAACAGATTTCCTTATACAAAAGCATGTACAGACTAAGCGTCTGACAAAAAATCAATAGTTTTACTTCCTTAACTAACATCAAATTCATCGGTACTCGTGACCCTTGAATTGCATAAATTCTTTATCGGCCCACTATTGTCTGCAAACTGATTTTAAAGTGTCACTGCAAAACCAGAACTGTCGGGTGTGTTTTTATATAAATTCAGCTCTAAAACCTTACATTTGTCCTCGTACACGATACTGCTAAGTGTCCGAATTAGCACACACCGTGGTTTCCGCAAATATCAGTTGTGAGTAACAAGACAGTAGAGGATCGGCTTATTATTTTAGGATTTCCTGACAAGTAAACACACGCATATTTTCGAGTATGATTTCAATTTAAAAAGAGCTACTTCAAATTAAACGAGAAAGGAGAGCTACTACCGGCTAATGATCTGCCGTATGTGAGTGGATCAGCGGACTAAGTAAAGACGATTTCTAAAATTACTACTGTTCGTGTCAGTTCAAGCACGAGCAGAGAGAGAAGACTTGAACCAGACAAAAAACTTAATTCTAGCGGCCTATTGGGCTGAAATCCAAAAGGGCAAAATATGTAATTTAAGAATCCTATAATATGACAATGACTTGGGATAATGTAAAGTAACGTCAATATCGAATATTGCACAAATTTACAACCATCTAAACTGATACCTTCTTTTACTGTTTCGTGAATATGAACACGATGACATCTCTTTAAAAAATTATCCAGGTTTCGCCTTAAGTCATTTGCTAAAGTGAAATTGAGAAATCGCCTGGTGAGTTAAAGATGCTAAAGTGGAACGAATCAGGGCCGTGCAACTGAGTGAAGGAAAACTGGGGAAGAAAAACAAGAAATCCAACACGGTGGACAGGGATTCTAGCCTGAAGCCGCATAACTAAACTGCATCCAAAGCATAATTTGCCGTGCAAAAGCACATGTTAACGGAATAGGTCGCATGATCATTGGAAACTATGGACTGGAAAGACACGAGGCAAGTTGCCGGAGGGCAAGACGAGGTCGGACGCTTTGTGATTCAAGTGGCTTCTTATGTGGCCGCTGCAATGATGAGTTAGTCTCCCGGAAGAATGTTTGTGGCGGGTCAGGCAATGCAGTCTGTGTCCTGCGTGCTGGCTGATCCTGGCCACCACCCCTTCGTAGATGTACTTCCAAACAGCGCACTTGTTAATGCACCTCACATGCAACACGTCCATAGCCACGAGAAACGACTGAACAGCATTGGAATTCCAGTGGGCACAAAGGACACTTCTTGGCACTCCTCGAACGGTCGCAGTCATGTCGAAATGAGATGTCTTTCAGTTACGAAATAAAATGCCTTTTAGTTACGGGCTCAACGTGTCAATTGTTGATGCATGTGTGGGAATTAAAATTTCCCTCAAACTAAACGCTTGGAAGTGAAGTTATAAAACTCTACTTCGGAAAGAAATATATACTCAACTAATGATGGGCTCAGAAGAATTTAGTTTAGACCGAGGTTAATGAAAGAAGATCTGGTATCAAAATAAGTTTCGCAGTCTTTAGGAATCTCGCCAATTGTCAGTGGGAATTCAGTGGGATTACATGGCATTCGCGTACGAATTTTGATTCTTCGGGACTACGATCGTAAATTTGAAGTCCTGCATTGGATCCTGGCGTGGTGGTGCTGCTTGTGAACAAGGAACTGAAGGAAAATCCCTGGCTTCATTGCAATATTCTGTTCTATCGCCGCCTTGAGTATTAGTTTCCGCAAAATAGAAACCACGGTTTGGCGCGTCCTTTGTATCCCCGCTCTTTTTCCCACAAATTCGCGGATCGATGCGAGGTTTGAAGGAGGTCAAGTAACTTCCATAATACCGCCACAATCCAAACGTAAAGGCAGCATCGATTGTTACCAGGAGTAGCAAAGTACTAAGAACTACCTGCATAATATAAAAACCCGTTACAAACGGCAAAAGGGGTTTGGTTTTTTGGTTTTTTTTTGCCAAGCGGAAAAAGTGTAGATCATGCATTTTTGAGCAAGAAGCAAATTTTTAAAAACAATTTACTTGTTGTAAGGTCAATAACCTCTGAAGGTCATAAACTGCACATTAGTGCAAAGACGCTTGAAAAAGACATGATTTGAAAAAAATGTCTGCCAATTGAAAGTCGTATTTAAGAAGATTTTACCGCACAGCTTTAAGGAACACTTGCTGTAAGGGTTGAATAATCTTTTAGGAATGTCAACAATCATATGTGCGCATTTAATTCCAATGCGTGTCGCACCAAAAATACGTCGACATTGATATTTCGATTATGATTACGCAGGCAGGTCTAATCATGAGCCTATGCTAATGCATATTCCGGTGCTTGCTTAAACAGAGAACACAGCCCGACTTAGTTGAGCTATCTTATAATCAGTTCTGCAATATTGAAAAATTCTAAGAGCATGTGAGTCAGGTTTATGAAATTCTCGTCAGTTAACACTGCTTTAAAGTGTAGCGTAAGTTGCTTGAATAATACAAGAAACGTCAAACCACTTAAATAGAATATTAACGTACCTATGGCAGCAAATTCAATAACTGAACTAGACACTTTTTATTGTATGATAGAGATAGGCTAAAGTCGCGTTGTGACACAAACGAAAGTAGCTACTTTGGTCAATCATGACTCCTCAGAACTTAAAATTCACAGGCACTTGTAGCAGGATGGTGTTACTGATTCGATGGTCTATAAAATCTTATGCTACCACTACCAACTTACTGCAAGCGCGTACTCTAATCCACATATATACTGGGCACGCAAAAGTGCATTAATAGTAGCTGCGTAGATTAGAATCGTCATTAAAGTCCAAAGAATGAACTCCTAAAAGGCAAACATAGTCTTTGAAATAGCAACAGAATACTAGTGAGCGTCTGAAGAATAAATTTACATGCAATTGTAAAGTGAAAACAACTCTAACACTTGTCGACCAATCGATGCAATTTAATAATATTTTGTACGAAGAATCTTGAATCCACTTTAAGATTTCGTTACTACAAAGGTGCATAATACGTAGTTTTTTTAATCATCAATAAAAAAAACTAAAAGCCTATCGTTGCACCAGTAGTGCTTGCACAGAAACCATACAAAAAGTCACTATAAACTCACGAACTATGGTAACTTTAACTGAACGGTCGGCAAAAATTAAGTGAATTAAAAAAAGCGAATGCAATCAGCCACAAACCCGGTTTTGGAACTAATTTAAATGTCCCTTGGGAAAAGGTTGGTTATTTAACACTTAATTAACCAATGTCAAACTGCTCATGAAAATAATAACTCCTTAATAGTTTGTTAGAAATTCCATTTTCTGGCAACGTATACTGAGCTCCGCTTCTAAATTTATATTTTTTATTTACAGTACAGCATTCTTTAGGCATTAACGGCGGGAATAACAACTTACAATCAAAATTATTGGAGCAGGAGGGGAAATCCGCGTAATCCCAGTGTGAATTAAAATAAAAAATATGTCAATCAGCAGAAACACCAGGCAGACAGCTAAGGCAAAATAATCGGCTATGCATGAAATTCCTAATACAATTAAACATATTAAGAGCTCGAAGAGACGAAGACCGAAATTGAAGCCTATGTATCCCATCTGCTAACAGTTCGACACCAACCGAATTCCTACCGAGCGTACCGATGACCTCAGAAAATAAAAACAAACCGCAGCTTCATTACTGTGATTCGAATTAATTTGTTTGCCTTTTTATCGCGTGCAATTGCATATATTTTTTCTTAAGAAGCATTTTAATGAGGAGAACTGGTTCGAGTAGTAAATTTAAAAAGCGGGGTTATACGTAGGAAAGCAGATTTCCGACAGACCACTTATCCTTGATAAGTTAATAGCTCTTTTCCTTGAAGCCAATTTTAAGTAGAATTCCACGCTTGGACTTATAAGTGTTAAATCACAGAGGTGTCATATCTAATGCTTCTACTGCCTCAGATGCGTGAATAATAATTTTTTTTCTAGATTATCAATATTTTTTAAAAACATATATACATATACATACATTTGCATATATATATTCTGTAATCTGTTTCTATCGATACGGAAATAAAATAATTATTGCGAAGGTCAGGTGTCACCTTTGTCAATAAATTTTTTTTAACAGAGTGTATTTTTATTTATAATTTTAATCCACCTTACGGAAATGATGGATTTTTAACCTTAGAAAACTGATACCTAAAAATTTGGAAAAATTTTGCTAAGGAGTGTAGCGGAGCACTTTACATGTACCTGCTGGAAATGCCCATTGCATAATCTCAGCCTCACCCACCAATCGCGCGCAATGCAATCCCCTGTGAAATCAAGGTAACCTCTGCACATGTCACCTGGTGAGTTAAGTTAAGCTGCAGGTGATGTAACGGCTTTCCCAGAAATGCAGTTTTTCCATTTTCGATATATCGCACTGCAGCCTCACACACCAATCGCGCCCATTCCATAGTGTTAGCATAAAAAAACACTAATTACTTGTCTTCAATAACAATTTATGACTCCTCGCATTATTGTGAGAAAAATGTAAGCAAGCGCTACAGCCTAACACCTTACTTTCCATTAGTAAAATCCAATTCTTGTGATTTCCTGCGACAACTTTGCTGGTTTCTATACGGTTAAACATGTTGAGTCTTCAAGTAAATAAACGGTGCAGCTAAATAGCGTCGTCCACTTGTTTGTTATACCAAATTGCTTTACTAAGTTGCGGTCCAACTCGAAAAAAAATTGTGCAGCTACTTTTTCTAATTTTATTGTTTTTTTGACAAATCTTAATTTGTTTGAGTTAATTGTAGAATAAACATTTTTTTCTAACCCTTTTTTGAGATCAAGAACATTGGTCAAATTTTTTTTGGTTATAGAGGTGTACGTGAGCGAATCTCGGAACTGCGTAATAGCCAAATTTTGCAGAGATTCTATGGAGCCGATATGTATACGGATAAGATATGCATCAAGTGGCTTTTGGTATAGATTTCATCTTGCAAAGATTTTTTTACTTTTAATTTAGAAGTAGTTTCAGTCCAATTGTTACACCTGTCAGAATACTAGTAAATTTGTGTGTGGTTTGTGGTTTGATCTAGCACACTTTAACACTGAGGCTTTTCAGAATAAAGAACAACGAAGCCGCAATTTTTGTTATAATGCGCGTATTGAACGTAGATTTTAATAACAAGGCCATTAGACTTAAATTCACTGTGTATAGAACAGAATCAACAATTTTTTAAACACTGGTTAAAGTTTTCGAAATAACGCCACCATTCCAACATGAAACCAGAAGTGATTTTGTACAAAAATCAGCACTGTGCTTAACAAGTGCTCATTTTTAATACTGAACCCATTAATAAAACTCCTCATTTAAACAATGCATACTAGCAAAAGCAATTATCCAGTCAACATAACAATGCATGTTATCATCACGCTACATCTCACCTTAGTAACACCTGAGCTGGAGATATAACATGGCGTGCCACTCCGCCACAGCCAATAAGACACGCGAAGGGGTGACGCCCACTTTCGCGTGAGCCACAGTAACACGAATCAGGAATCTAAACTGAGCTTTCTTGAGGAAACAGCATATATGTTCAAACTAACATTCTACTAACCGCCACGGAGTGACAAACCCTCAAATAAAGTGAGTGCTTCCTGCATTTGCACGTAATTTGAATAAATTTTTTCATTGATACCTGCTTGTCTTGGATCGTTTCTATTCAGTAGTATATGAAGTTTAGATAAAGTAATAACGCTTGTCCGATGCAACGCCAGACACCTCCCTCTTCACACGATTCAAACCAGTCTGTGCACATCAAGTTAACGGCTCATATAAAACCTGCTTTCGCTGAAATTGGAAGAGTGGTCATAAACTTTTGGTTGGTATTTAGGGAAAATTTATAAAGCAAAATGCAGGACTAAGGCCACTCCAATTTCAGACTAAATGTAGGCTGAAGCAGACGGGAAACGCTGAGTAATCACACCAAGCGACAAGGTTATAGTCTCGCACAATTTGGCTAAATACGTCATGTTTGGAATCAATGAGGGAGCATCAATTCCTCGTCTTGATATTTTCAACTAAATCTTCATTTTATCAAGGATCCACGCAATTGTTGACACTGCAACAGAGAATGGCATTGACGATTCACCACGATCATGTGCTCAAGTGTTTGTGTGAATCGAGTCGCTAGTATTTCCACTGGATAATTTGTGTCCGTTGGGAATGTTGTGCCATTTGCATCCCAACCTCAGCACGATAAATTGTCCTTTTAAATCCTCTAGTCGATACTAAACTGTCAGTGATATCTTAGGTGACGTTTCCCGACATCATCATCATCATCCGTGTATCAAAATATGATTTGCTCCTTGGCTTTAATAGCGAGACCACTTTAGGTCCGCACATCATTCAAAATCTATTGAAATGAAAATCTTCGTGCATAGAGACAAGGTAAAGTGAGGCACTTTAATGCCAAACTGTCGCATCATAATCGGACAAAAATGGTGGCATCTGAAGACCGTTGAATGTGAAATTTAAGAATTTAAATAATTGCGTTCAAATGCATTAATGTAAGTGAAATGAAATCTTCAAGCGAAATGTGTGGTATTGTGTGATTTGCACTTGACAAAATTTAAGAATAAACGAAATGCGTTTGGCTGGTTTCCACTCTGCTTTTTCGTACAAGGCGTTTGTCAAGAGCACAATTTCTATCCCTCCGTCTGCGACCGATTGGTTCTGAGCGCGAAATGCTCACTTCACTCCAGACCGGACTCTTGGCTGTAGCAGGCGTCACCTTTATGTGGGCGACTGATGTCTACGACGGGGGCTTCCTAAATGACGTCTTCATGGTGACCGCCAACTCCACCGTCAGCCTGCGTCAGCTCGCACTGGCGGACATTGTTTCGGCGGCCACGCAGAGTCTCTTCAGAGGGGGAAGACAGAACCTGGAAATTTATCGCTGGCTGCCTCCCGAACTCCAAGACGGAGCTGACGCCTCGCAAAAACCTGCGATTCTCACCGGCACAACGGTACTTGCTGGAATCCTTCTTCTTGTCTTTCCAATTTGCATAGCCGTGATGAGCTGCGGTTGTTGTCGTGTGCCGAAACACAGCTCCAGTGCAATAAATACCAAACTTGGTTCGGTGAGTTTTGCTAGATGTCAAATAAATTTCAAAAGTTTTTGTATCTCACTAACATACACCAACTGGAATGCCTTAATTGTCTAATCCTTAGACGCTAATTGTGAATGTTCCCAAATTCCTAAATGCAGGATTGCCCAGAATGCATTTTTTGGGAGAAGTTAAAACAATTTCTAAATATCCACACGATTGAATTGCAGAATCATAACAAATCCGACTTGGAGTTCCTACATGGTGGCTTGTATCATGGCCTTCAAACGAAAATGAAATTAACATTTTGTAAGCCTACAAAACCTTGTTTACCTGATCCTCATTGGTATTAGGACGTGTCCTTATAGCAGGACCGATAAACGTGGTCAGGAAATTGACTTCAACGAATTCTTGCGGTGAATTTCCGTGGCATCGACTAAAATAATTAGATGACACGCTAGCTACTTGTTTGTTTGCAGTGAAGTTAAGTGTAAATGCACTGTGGTAACAAGCTCAAACTTACCTGTGTGATGGCTTGATAAAACTTGTTTCTAAGAGCCTTGAGAGCGCGTGGTTGCAAAAATGATATGGCAAGGTGTTTTCGCGACCACAGGAATTCCGATGCAGCGCCTTGAAGAATTGGGCGTAATATAAAATGACCGCAGATTTTGAGAACGTACTCTAGTAATTTTACGTCTCTGCCTCAAAAGCAATCATTAACCTCCCAAATTGAAATGCATTTTATTTGGCCACATGATTTTACAGCGAAATGCAAAATAACAATAAACGATTTCCGACCTCGTTAATTTTGGGCCAAAGAACAGGCCAATCTGAAGGGCATTAATGCAATTGAAGCTCTCCGAACTTGAATTCTATCTGTCCTTTGCTGAGTCTCTCAGTCACCCTTCGAAATATCGACAACTGGCAATAATCCGTGATATGTGATTTTTAAATTTAAATCCCTTAGATTATATTCACTAAAATTTTTACACATAACATAATCTGTCGGATATAACATTATGAACAGCTAATTTGTCTAAGCCTTTTTCCCTAAGTAATAAGAGTTTTTAAGTTGTAACATCCAAACCACGACCACGTGGCAATAGAAGCTCAAGCTGCATTGTTCTAAAGTAGCAAATTGCAAATGTTTTAAAAACTTCACCTTTTTGGTTTTCAATTCCCTTTATACCAAACCAATTTTCCTTATTGATATTCGCTAATACAGTAGGACTCGCGTTGCCCTTTTTCGGCTATTTTACTACTCGTATGCAAACACACGTTCATTAGATCCGTACAAAAATCACTTGTCTACCTCAAGCCTTCTATTGTCTTAGCAAGAAGTCCAAAATCGAATACACGTTCAGACGATCTTGATCTGATGAGTTGAAGGTGATTTACTCTGAGGGAAGAGTCATTAGAGTGAAGACAGAAATAGCGTGACTGACGAATAGTGAAATTTTTGAGATATTGTTGATGGCGCTACTTTGTGAACAGGGTCGAGTAAATTAAATTGTCATGAGGACCGTTCACATTTCCGACAATCTAAATCCTTCACAAAGTTTTAACAAATTTACATGGATTATTACGTATTTGTTGTCGCATTTTGGTTAGTATTCTTTTCCCAAAAACCAAATCGCCAACTTGAAAGCTGTCTTTGGTTAGGGATAACCATGGCAACCATGGATGATTTTCTTCAACGCAACATTACCGCTGGCAATGATAAATGTTTGCTACTATGTTAAGCCAAAGTGCCTCCAAATGAGCTTCATAACAATTCCAGGAAAAGGAGAATAATAAGGTATTGCTATAGCAACGGAGTTACATTGTCTAGTGTACCTTATGAACAAAACAAAAATATTTCAAGCAAGCAGTGGAAATTCAGTTTGTTTAAATTACTCTGGACGTTGAGTGAATAAAAGAGACGAGTTAAGCTGTGGAAATGTTAGTTTTTCTTGGCACTTTTAATTACCTACTTATTATTCTGTAACAACCATAGTGCCAAGTCCTTGAGAAGCACAGGTGTTTATCATATACTGAAGGGTATCAGCAGCCTAACATGACTTAAATGCGATTGAAATCCACGCTAAATCGTCTCAAATGTAGGTGAGTTCTGTGGTTAATGTGATGGTCCCCTCACATTGGTGGTCAACAATCGAGTGTGTCACGTGACAAATTTCGAAACCCATGGCGTCCCCATGAGGGGGCTGTAGCAGGAAAACAAAAAATAATTTATTACCTGGTTAAAAGAGGCGGTGTTGCGCAAATTGCTTATTCAAAAGCTCATGTGACTGAGTAGGCGCCAGCCCCTGAGTTTCAGCGCCGCCAAGCTTAAGGTCAATTAATTCAGCGCCTGCGGGAAATGTCGAAAATCTATTCCATTTTTGGGAGCACGCTTCTGTAGTTACGAGAGTTTGGATCAATTGAGATAAATGATGAAGGGCAATGTCCATCTTTTTTTCAAGCTCACAGAATGCATTGTAGGGAATTACTGGGAGGTGATAGCGTTATGCACTGTCATTCTGAGTCTGTTCTACTTCCTAATTAACGGTACCAATAAAAGAGGCATGGAGAAGATTTCAGGAAAATCCTACCCAGCACTACGCATATTAGTGTTGTGCACGTGGGCGTACTGATGGAAAATTTAAGTGAACCGTGAAAATATGTGTACCGACAAAGAGTTGATGGAGAATTACTGGGAAATATAATCGCCGTTGATGCTGGGACACAACGAACGCTCCACACCCACTTTCGGAATCAGCGACTTGTAATGGTCGCTGCACTTGTTAAACCAAGTGCGATGCATGGAAGCAAAATTGCGGCGGAAATTTTTCTTCTTTGATTCACGGAGAGGGTGTAATGGTTTTGAGAATCACAAACGCGTCCAGATCGGTTCCTGACAAGCGTATACAATCATGAAGGATGAAGAAGTTTGGTAGCGAGTGAAGTTGACGGTGAAGATGGGGTTGGCGTGAGTTTGGAGCACTGAAGGTGACGTAATATCCTTCGCGAATACATTCGACTGATAACCGAAGGATAACAAACACGTGGCTGGACATTGTGAAAACTTTTCCTGGCAGAATCAAAATTGTCTTGATGACGGTTTTTACGACACTTTGTCGATGCTTTTCTTGCGGAACTGCGGTCAGTGATGCTGGATGTCGTCACCTGGGTGTGGAAACAATTCACCAGACCACCGTGCCAACAAGGAAGTAGATACTACAACGAAAGCAAGACATAAAATTTGGCATTCTAATTTGAAGCGATATTTCCCACGATTCGCAGAACACACGAGTAAGCCTGTCATCAAGACGTACTGCTATCAGCCAACGTTCGATATCCACTAGTCAGAAAGGTTGTTTTTTTTATACAAGCTTTTTCTCAAGACTTTGTGTTGTGGTATCCCGAGAAAAAACACAGTATGTCTAGAAAACTGCCGTAGTTATTTTGACTTCAGATTCTTTAGGGGTTATTCGCCGTGAAGTTGGCTGTTAAAAGGCGAAATTAGGCTGACGGGGTTCATTTGTTTGTATACTATTGGCTCTGCCGAGTGTATTGGGCATCATCGTCTATTTTCATTGTGGGCCCCGGCGTGTGGCCTTGAAGCACGCCGGGGCCACGGAATTAACCCTAGCCCGATTACGTTTCCCTGATATCCGCGATGAAGAAAAAGATCCGAGAAGACGTGGACACAAGATTTTACTTTAGGGCTCAACCACGTTGGTGTCGTTGTGTCGTGTGTGGGGTTTGCGCGTGTGTATTTATACCTCAGATGTATGAGTCATAGATGAACTAACATCGAGATTTGGTGTGAGGATAATCCAAATGTTAGTGTGAATGAGGGGGGAGTTTAGGCTCCACGCGGCTGGCGACATTCTGTGAAAAGGGGAACCCTTTGTAGAAGGTTGAGCGACCGGATTAAGGGGTGTGAATAAACATGATTCACAGCATCATAATGTGGTGCGTCATGATGCGGATCGTCTTTTTTGATCGCAAGAAAATTTGTCGGGAAGGAATTTGGTGTCTCAAGGTGGCAAAGGCTGGGCAATTGCCAAGTAAAATTGGACAAACAGAGAGGACCTTGGCCTAATCATGGTGTGTCGATGGACGGAAATCTTGACTATTAATCGATCGCAGAACTCCTTTGCAGATAAAATCGAAGGAACATTTCTGTAAAGATCGGAAGCCAATGTGAAAATTCGGTAGCCCTACGCTGCAAATTAAAAGCTGTTGATAGCCTGCAGTTACAAATTTATGGCCTTGACGCAGTGATTGTCAACTCCGCAGTCAATAACGCCAACGTTGGCGCAGGTTTCGAAACTGCTTAAAGTACCGTAAAATATACTAGATAAATAAATTTAACATGATCATTTGGTAATATCGTGCGTTGTTGCTACAGCAATTATGACACCGGCGTAATGCAGATTGTAGTCACGACTTAGCGGAATGTAATGCTATAACGAGCAATGTCAAAATTGTTATTGTATGTGAACAAATCTTGTCAGTTTTCTACAAACGCTATGGGGTGCGATAAGAAGCAATAATTGCGGCGATGGAGACAAGTCTAGTTGTTAAGGCACAGAATGCGGTTGTTTTGAAGCGCGTAAATACGGAAAATATTTCTCAGCTGTCCTACCTGGTGGCTTCAAAGTGGTGATTAACCTCCCATGTGTGATCTCCCCACACTACCAAATGTAGATTACCTACTTGTCACCACAACTCGCTAGGCGGTGCGCTAGAGGTGGTGCCCTCATTATCCGATCCTCTGAACTGCCATTTGGGAACAGTGCCAACTAGTTTTGACGACTTTTGCGCAATGTCCAGAGTCTCCAGGAGGGCAATGGAGCAATTGTGCTGGCCAACAAGCTGATAAATCCTGACACGGTGGCAAAACGAGGAGGCACAAATCGAAGAAGAAGAGTTCGCCACTGATCTCGCAGTTTAGCACCGAGAGAAGGCATCACAAACGGCCCTTCCCTAACTTGGCTGTTTTCTGCTGGTGGTAGAGGTTTGAATTGCTCTTGTGCGTGGCTGGTCTTACGCGTTAGCTGCAACTCATGCATGCACTTGCGCTTTATTCTGAGTTTGCGCAATGGCCGATGACGCAGTCCTCGGAATGACAGCGAAAATAGCGACTTCTACCAGGCATAATGAATTTGCTCGTAAACGATTGATGTAGATCGGGTTTTCTAGGGAAATAAAATTTGGATTTACAATCACATTCAGGTCACCTATAAACGTACCAGATTTCTCTGTTAGAACAAGAAGACCAGAGCTGTAGGCTTTCATCTAGTTGATTATTGTGATTATTAATTGGTATTATTTGGTTGCAGGATTCGCCGGGAACCTATTCCACAAGTTCCGATGCACGTTTGCTCGAAAAGCTTCACGCTCACACACTAAGTGCAATGACCTCAAGTTCACAAAACATTCTCAAATTCCGCATTTACCATGGATTCGCGTTTGCGGTGACATTCCTTTTGATGCTGTCTCTCCTGGCGATGATTGTCGTCTACCTGAATGCAGGACTCCTTCTGACGGAGACGCTGCGTGAGACGCCGACCAATAGTTCCACCTTCGACGACGAAGCAGTGACCCTGGTTGGCGGTCTGCGGTTCGCATTTGGAAAAACAGTCGACTTCCTTCAGACGGCCGTTGTCACCGGCCGTGAGTCGACGCAGACGTTCCTAAGTCGAACCAATACAACACTCGTTGTAAGCTATGCAACCAGTCAAATTTTAAGACGTGTCCTCAGTATTTTTGCCGTTGTTAAAACACTTAAATTGACGCTTATTAAGTCTAGAACACGTAAGCCGTTAAGCTGAATTCAGTATGCCCAGAACTGTTTCTTATTTCAATTTTTCAAGTCAAAATACGTCCAAACTTTGTGAGGTGTCGCGACAGCTTTGAGGTATTTCAGTTCATCATAATCAGACTGCAACATATTAGATTAGAGCAGCGCACGCTTGATGAAGTGATAAAATTTTACCACACATCTCACAGAACGACCTAGAAAGCGTGATTATCTTGATGGATAGGGATTCTAGCCTGAAGCCGCGTGACTAAACTGCGTCTGAAGCACATGTTAACGAAAGAGGTCGCGTGAACATGGCAAACTGTCGACTGGAAAGACACGAGGCAAGTTGCCGGAAGGCGAGACGAAGTCGGACGCTTTGTGATTCAAGTGGCTTCTTATGTGGCCGCTGCAATGCTGAGTTAGCCTCCCGGAAGAATGCGTGTGGCGGGTCAGGCAATGCAGTCTGTGTCCTGCGTGCTGGCTGATCCTGGCCACCATCCCTTCGTAAATGTGCTTCCAAACAGCGCACTTGTTAATGCACCGCACATGCAACACGTCAGTAGCCACGAGAGATGACTGAACAGCATTGGGATTCCAGTTGGCACGAAGGAAACTTCTTGAGACCGCTCGAACGGTCCCAGTCAAGTCGAAATGAGATATCTTTCATTTACGAGATCAACTTGTGAGTCATCAATGCATGTCCAGTAATCAACTGTTCCCTCTAGCGAATTCTGTAAAGTAGAATGGGTATAGATCTGGCATATACGCAATTTACTGAATGGATGCTGGGTCTAGGAACACTTCATTTAGCCCGATTTCGACCACTCTTTTGTCCAATTTTTCTCCTACTTATCTTTCATGCACGTATTACGTCTCGCAAACCTTGTACTTAGAAATAAACTCATTTTAAATACTTGTGTAATGAAGCTGCATCAAAAAATTGTTATCATGAATTAATAGTTGTGTTTTGATCCTCGACTTAAATGCAATTAGTGTGACCTGTTTGGGTCGAAGCATAAGCAAATTCAGCGCCATGAATTTGTTTTTCACAGCGCATTGATTATCGCCAGCAGTTTGGTACTTGGGGCTGTGCTATTGCAACTTCTGTGTTCTATCTGATGTACCAGTAGCAATCTGCTGCAGATAGGTCATCTTGAATAATGTGAAATTCAATTTTAATCATATATAAAGAACTTAAAAACATGCTGAAGCCAAAAAACTATAGGTAATAATAGTTTTCACTGAGACAGATTCATAATTTTCCTAAAGATACTCTCTACCATCTAAAGCTGACAGAAGGCACAGCTATCGGGTACAGCATTGTCGCTTGCCTTGACCGTGGCGTTAAATTAATGGTTGTACCGAAGCGTGTCAGGGAGGTCTGACCGCGTGGTTTACCGCACGAGGAAAGGCCTCGATGACTCATCCTAACCCTGCATTTGGCGCTGCTCGCAAGCGTTTGATTCACACGCCACCCACGCACAATGACGCACTTGGCTGGCCGGTGTGAGGCGATTAGCATTCGCATCCGCCGCTGCCGCCGCCGCCGTTGGCTGTGGTGTCGCCATTCGCGGTTTGTTGCCGTCTGCTAGCCATCAGGGTTGTAAACACCACGTGTCTAATTTGACAGGCGGTAAAACAGCGTAAAAAAGTGACCATAGTTACCAAAAATATCCGTGATTTGCTCTTCCGCGGTTTTTGTAAATGGCTATTAGTTCGTCTCTAATTCTAAATTTCTAGCTGCCCGAAATGTTTGCAGTGAGAAGCCAGACAGGTGACACGTATCCATGGCTTTTTCGTCAAACTCACATAGCGAACGATGGTGTGCCATGTTTAAATAAATATTGTGCATTTTAAAGCATGACAAAGGGATCGTGAGTACCTAGCTAACTAAAATGTCGGCAATTACTCAAAAATTCAGTTTCAGTTATTTAAAACCATGTTAAAACTATGGTGGTACAACGAGTAACAGCGATTTAATTTGTATCCATATTTACTTAAATATTAATAGTAGCTTTTATTTTGCAATAAATATTTTAATTGAGAATCGGAGTATTGGAACCTCCAACAGTTATTTCATTAAACTAACATGCTTGTCTGTGGTATTCTTCTTTCATCACACAAACTTTAACGGGCACTTAATTCGACTTAGCGACTGTATTTTAATTGTTTTATTATCATCCCAAAAGTGCGAAATGGGGTTAAATCCATTAAATAACATGATTTACAATGATTTGCGATTGTTCAATCGTCTGCTTACTTATTATTCAGGTTTTTTAGGTGGCACAGCCCAATTAAGTGTACAAATGAAGCCTTATGCATTCATAATCAAAAAGGCGAAAGCTTTTATTACCACCTTAATAATGTGGTTGGTGACCTTCAAGACTATTCTCGAGTTAATCCAAAAAGAAAAAAAAATTAAGCGCAATTTTTAGAATAGATTTTGGTTCCATTTCGGCGTGGCTACAAAGCTGGTACTTTCTGAAAAGGCTTCAGACAGCCCAATGATGAAGTAGTCCAAATTTAATCGAAACAAAATGTCTTACGTTCAAAAAAGAGGGCACTAAAATCATTTAAAACAATTAACATTTTAGTCACTGCTAGAGCAGGGTGTGTCGACTGCCGTGGACGAACTGCTGGTCAGCTACGGCGTGGAAAACCTGCTGGAGACGGGGAAGCGTCTTCGGGGGGATTTGAGCGCACTGCAGACAAACATGGACCACATTCGGCTGAACAACCAGAAGGTCAGCGCTGACATCTCCAGCCTCGTTGGTCAGTTCAAGGTCATCCACGACCTTGTTCACCCCGAACTCCAAAATGTGTGCAAAACTGACTACGGGCCCCAACTGAATGCGACGTGCTCTAGCCTCAAGGTTGGTTTCCACCAAAATGTTTACTGTATATTTACTGCCTAGAGTTTAATTTGAAAGCACTTTAATGAAGTACCACCTGGGAATTTCTGACTCTGTCAGACCAAACTTAGAACAGGCTTTGCAATAAAAATTGCGATGCTGCCTAAATTGAGACACAAGCTTTTGAGAAGCTTAATTAACCAAACTCACTACATGTGCGTTTGGCAGCTCCAATGTGTGTTCTAGGATCAATTGGGTACATCTTCATATTATTATAGTTGGGTGTAGGACTCGATTTTTACAGAATATTCAAAAGTTTATTTAATGCAAAAATAGAGAACAACGAAATTAATCCTGGAAACATTATCGATCGTTGTTAATGACTTCGAGCCATCTCTCGAGCGACGACAGAATGCCATCATGAAAGAAACTTGAAGGCGAATTTACGCACATTGTCCCAGCGTTTCGAACGGTTTATCCACTAGAACGTGCTGCTGCACTGACCGGAAGAAATCGTGGCGACCAGCAAGCCAGCGCAGTCAGCATTCGTGAGCGAACACAAATCAATCGATTTTCACCGTGAAGGCACCGTTGTGGTCAGGCGGCCACCGCGCGTGAGTGCTGCGTGTGTGCTTGTCCGACTGTACCAATGACTCACCCTCTTTGCTATTGGCTCTTGTTAGCAGTCGCCTGTAACGCATGCGTATCGATGGGCACAAAGAAGTTAGTTACTCGATTTTACTCGACTTGACTTGACTGGCGTGACGCGAATAAACGGTCGTGTTCTCTTTCGACTCTTTGTCCTCTCTCTTCTCGGGTTATGACCGGTCGTTAACTATGGGGTTTTGCGGTAGTGCCAAACTCGACCTCTACAAAATTATATTCGGATGGGTACGAGTCCGGTTAATATACCGTGTGTGAGATAACTTCCCATCCCAGGTTCAAGAGGGTTTTCTGAGTCGTGCGAGCAGCGTGAGGTCGAGCGTTGTCATGCAGCAGTATGACTTGTCTGCTTCCCTACCCAGTAAATGACCAAGTCTGACCAAGTACTTTGTTCAGTTTATTGATTTGTCAGCTGTAGTGTCCTGCAGTCACTGTCTGACCAGTTTCCTTCGTGTTCCACCACATACTTAGGGGAACCTTCCTCAAGAGGATGTCCTGTTTCGACGTCGATGTGCTGGGAAGCCCTGGATGCACCCACTACTTGGAAACTTTAAGACTCTAAACTGTCACAATGTTTCACATGAAGTCCTTTTTTGCTGTGCTCCGTCAGCTCATGTGGTATCGAACTTCCAAGCATTTGACTTTTCCCCATTTGGTGCAAAGGCTTGGAAATCGCTGTTCGGGCGACGTAAAATTGCGATTGCGTTGAGTCGTCATCCAGTAGAGCTTGCGATTCCGCATCTTCACACTTTCGAGGCTGTCCAAGACGTGGGTGGCCACAAATATCGAAATTACCACTTCTAAAACATTTGTGCCAATAATTAAACGCTTCGTAAGACACAACAGGGACACGAAAAACTAATTCCGTTTGTTTAGAATCATTTTTTCCTTATTGGTATTGGTATAAATAAAGTGTTATCGAATGTGTTGTTTAGCATTTGCCATCGTGAACTCTGCTATTCTGAGAGGTTCTAAAACTCGTCTTTTTAATATTTTGGAGCCTTGCATTCGATTCTTTCAAAACCACAAAAACCGTATAAATATTAATATTTTAAGTGCCCTTTTAAACTCGAAGAATAGGTTCGTACAAATTAGGTGACACGTTTATTATGCTGCTTACAATTACTGCTAGCCAGAAACTTGACACGTTAAACTTACGTTCCTTGCATGTTTGCCAAAGTTTAAGGAATAATTGATTCCCATTTTTGCACAATACCAAGTGAACGGTACGTAAGTAAAGTGTGCAATAGCAAAATCCTCATTATTTTTCTCCACTAAATCGAAATTTTTCTTAATTGTTTGTTAGCGAGAGGCCTTTTATTCTGCCAATCCAACTTTCAAATAAAACTAAATTAAGATCTCGGGCACAAGGTCGTGGGGAAAAATTATCGGCGTACAATGTGTGCCGTCTGCTTTTGGTGGTTGGCACGTTACTTGCTTGATTCTTCAGACTCAATGACAAGACCATCAATCAGTATTTCCCTTGAATTTTTTATATTGCGGCAGTTAGAAGGAGTAATTGTCGTGCGTCAAAAAAGCCCCACTGAATATGAAATCAAATACCCTTATAAAATGTGGTGATTTGGGCTCAAATTATCAAAACAAGAGCAAAATCAGTTTCATTAAATAAAACCTTACTGGGTGTGTAGTTTTAATTGGTATTAGAGGATCGTATGATGAGGTTAGTGTGCCTGACGTAGTCGCGTCTCAAATCAAACAAATAAACCATAAAAATTTTACTAAAACCAAAAGCCAATGCGGATGAGTTGGAGTAAGGTCATTCGCCAAATCAGCTTGTGACAGAGCAAGTGTGGTGGCTAAATGTAGTACTGCCTAATGCCTGTACCTCCGTGTTCATTTAAACTTTACCTCAATGATATTTAAAAATCCTGCAATGTCAATGTCACCATTGAAATGCTCACATTTCAATTGTTCAAAAAGTAGAATAATTTGGTATGCTATGCATTTAAGATCTTATAGGAGATGGGTTTAACTTTGGTAAAATGTAGTTCTTTTAATTCTGGTTGTTTTCACCTAGGATCGTTCTTCCATCCTGATTATCCAGTTCAATGCAACGGCAATTAAGGTTGACCCACCAGCCGTTCTTCATTTTCTTTTCAACGAGCTCGGAATTGACCTGGACGCCCTCCTCAGTCAGATAACCCAGGTCTCTGATAAGGTTGTGGAAGTTAAGGGCCAGGTCTTGGATAAAATATTCTCCTTCCTAGATCTGAGCTCTTTCTTCTCTCCAGTAATCCAGATCTGGGAAACGGTCTCCAACGAGACCAAAAATGTAAATGAGACATTTGGGAATCTCATCAATCAGACGTCGAAGGGTGTCGATTCTGCTAGGGTGATTTTTGATGCCGTCGTTTACACCCCAGCAGCGATTCTTATATTAATATTGGTCGTAGACGTCGCCGTCACCATTGTTTATGCCATCGAGGCATGGAAAATGGGGCTTTTTGTGAAGCGCTATGTTGAATCTGACAGGGCAGGTAAGGACTGCTTAAGTTACTTATGAATACTTCAAAAAAAGCCCAGATATGGGTGTGTCGTAAACCTATTTTAAAGATTACGAATAAGATGCCTTTTTAACGCACCAATTTACTACTAAGCCACCCTGGTGACATTCTATCTTTAATTTCTTCAACTTCTCCAGTTGAACCGCATGCTACAACAAAGATCCTAAAATTGGCCTAAAAATTAAAATGTAGTCTTGCTTATAAATACAGCTTATAATATTTGTAAGAGGTATTTGACAAAGATGGCATTGATCCCCTCCGAGAAGCGATCTACATGAATATAAAACCACCCAACAAATGACAATCGTAGTATTTTAATTAGACTATTGGCAATCGTAAACATCAGGAAGCTGTAATTTATTTCCGGAAATAATTCACTGTTTAGGATAAATTTGGAGTGATTCGTGTGTGGAAAAAAGACCTCGATTGCACATTTCACTTAGTTACAATTTAAAAACCAACGCTAGCTGTCAATTGTTTTGCTGATCTAGTCGACAGCAGCATGGACACGGGAGTGTGCAATAACACAGCGTACTGCGTCTCCGCGATATTCTTCGCGTTGTTTCTTCTGCTCACGTCGCTGGTTGTGATCGTGGTCCTTCCTGGAACCACCGTGGTTGCCAGCAGCGGTTGCGTCTACCTGACGGAAACCAAGGGTGTCGCTCAATCCGACTACGTCCTCAATTCATACATAGCGAATGAGGTATGGCCCGGAGTTCTTGGTCAGATTGAAGCCATTTTAAACTCTCCAACTCTGGATTTCCTAAGCCTGCCTGCACCCAGAAATGTAATTAACGCTACGACTGTGAGCTGTCAACCCCTGCAGCGTGCCTCTCAAGGAGGCCTGATTAGCGCTGTTGGGTGGACCTCCTTTATCGACGTTTCTAAGTTGTTAAACAGTCAAGAAATTGATTCAAAGATAAAAGAAGGTGAGAAGTAAGTGATTATGATAAACAACATTTGGCGCTTCGAATTAATCATAATGGATGACTCTTTTCTAACTCATCTCCATTCAGAGTTATGAAAGACGAGGTTACAAAGTTAAACCTGGCAAGCTATATTCCAAAAGACTTGGACAAACTGGCGGGGACAACAAAAAATCTGACTCAATATTTCGACAAAGTGGACTACACAGTAAGTTCTTTTGGAGGGAATTGAGAATTATGGTCGAGGGTTTACATATTATCCGCTAAATCTTTTACAGGATTCAATCAATGAACTTTCACATGATCGCCTACCCACAACAGAATTGACGCGTTATGCTGATGATCTCATAGCATTTGTTGAAGGGCTACGTTTGCTGGGCTTGAACGAAAATCCCATTCTGAAGCGAAGTGCTGAACTGATATACAGCAGTCTTAAGACGTCCCAGGTTGTTGAAGAGGAAGCCATGAAACTTCGGGATGCTTTTGTTGCCGTTCAAATGCGTCGAAATCTTACAAATGGCATTGATTATTTGCTTGAAAGCGTCGAAACCGTAAGAGTGGTAAGTTGCGACAGTTTGGGATTTAAAACTCATGAAATTCCTTGAATGCAGATTCCTTTTAGTCTCCTGCTGCATCCCACTTCAATTTCTAGTTAAAGTATTAATTCCACCGTGTAACAGTAATTCTAGTAGGTAAATCTATGCAAAGTGTAGTCTACTTTTAATTTATTACGAGTAACCGACTTGAATGCAAAGTGCTTTTTTATCGTATTTTATTTTTTGGAAGCACTTTGTCCACACAGAAAAATATTTATGTTTCAGTGCAAATATTGCAATAAATTTCTTCCCGAATTTTATCAAATTTATGTTAGTTAGAGTGCTTAGCAGATTTTTAGCGCAGTTAAAACCTAAACAACACAGCAATTAGTATTTCTTTTATATGTGGTTGACACCATATTCATGTCAACGTCCTGCCACAAGTGAAAATGTAATAGGGTGTTGGTTGGTCTATGGTCCTGCACAGATATTAGATGCAAATTTTGAACAGACTTAAGACCTCTAAGTTAATCTTTTGACTGGAAATCGACAACAACAATGTCTGCGATTCTGTACAAAAAACCTTTATTCGTTTAAATGCACAACATGCATAACGCAAGTCAAAATACATGGAACAAATTTCACACCAGTGTCCCCAATTGTCTTCTTAAAGCTCGTACATACCTGTAGTAGCTTATGGTTTAAGCACTACCTTACAACCCTCTAGTTAACAGCCCAAGACAACCCTAGAATGGAGAGAAGAGAGGCGACAGTGGACACGACCGTTTATTAGCGTCACGCCAGCCAAGTGTGTCTTAGTGTGTGGATGAGTGAACGGATGACAGGCATCGGATATAGTAACCAATGAAAAAGGGGGTGAGTCATTGTCACTGTCAGGTCAGTAACCATGGTTCACTCAGGCGCGATCGCTGTTAATCCGCTACATACCATAAAGGAGCATATTAATGTTAAAAATTATTTCGTGCTACCGTAACTACTGTGGCTCAAAATGGAAAATGTAAGTATCACAAAGGGGCCTCTTAAGGAGGTGTTGGATGAACAAAATAAACATTTTTTCAGTACCAACGAGGTTCTTGATATATGTACAACGATTAAAGTTGCTTTTTGCATTTAAATTCTGTGACAGAAATTTTCACAAGATATCGTAAAATTTGATGCTTGAAACTGTACATGACTGAGTGATTTGGTTAGCTTTTGATTTTTAGTAACAGTAAAACAGCTCAAATGAAGAAGTTACACCTTGGGGATTTTAGGACCATTTGTCAAACAATTTTACCAAAGGGTGTGCGCTGAAAAGATTAGCCACTAAGTAGCAAAGTTGCATGCGTCTGCATAACATCGTTAACAGCGCAGATAATAGTAAAAATTGGCAGTCGGTGGCTCGTGAATTACGTGCTCTCGAACACCGGGCCGATTTAAAATGCCATAGTCACAGACATGAAGCTGTGGCGAGCAGCAAGCGAGCACAATTAGCAGTCGTGAGCGAACACGATTCAATCGATTTTTCATGAATGCACTTCACGTACTTACCTCCGTTCAGAGATCGATACTTCGCGAAACCATATAAAAGCACCCGCTATTCTGTACACTCACAGCTACTGCATTAATAAATTGGTCGAGCTACTCTTTTTTTGGTTGGGCCTTGTCAATGTATATCGCCAGCCCTGGTGTGGTTTCCAAAACCGCTACAATGCCATTTTGAATAAGTTAAGCAATTTTTAAGGCAGCGTAAACTGAAACTGTTCTGTTGAGATTTTTGGTTATTTTCTGAGCGCTATTTACATTAAGAAGGAATTTGTTAGTTGAGGTTCAGTCCAAATTACAAGGCAATCATGTAGGTGAGCAAGACCGCTAGCACAGATGATGGAGTCGAGAGAAATACAGCGTTGTCAATTAAATCCTTGGGATGCACAGTTGGCAAGCCTGAGACGGAAGGCACTTTGGCACATTAAAACATAAAAAAGCTAATTTTATTCTAATACTCCAGACGACGCAAAAGCTATTCATAATCATTTTATGCACGATGACTATGCTCGCAGTAATTTTTCAAATAGGCATTCAAACCAAACGCTACTTCCCCGGAAGTTGAAACTTGCAACAGCAAAAAAAACAGGCCTTGTCAAAGTTTTGATTTTAAACACTTGTCATTTAGAAAATACGACATTTACCCATGGCACACGCCATATGCCGGCATCGCAAGGCGATGCAACACGGTGTGAAGCAAATTAATGACTTTCAGTAATTGCTTTTTTCTAGATTGTTAGCAACCAAACGGCTCTCCTCGAGCCTATCTCAGGCGTGTACTCAAAGTTGGTGGTGCAGTTCAAAAGCGACTTAAGCTTGAGCCTAAGTCCAGTCATCCAGACGTTCACTCAGGATCTGCTGCCGTGCGCTGACCTATACAGGGCCGTAGATGCCCTCCTTGTGATGACCTGCAAGCAGAACGGCGAGGTAAGTTATAATTTCCTGAAGAGATGGCACTTTGTGTGCATCACCGGTTATCAAGTTGCTTGTAGAACCATTGAGGAATTCAGGAGCGCGGAAAATCAAAACTAAATAACTTACTTTGATGGAACTGCTCCCGTATCTCTCGAATTAGACTATATATTACTTGAGTTAGTTTAATATCGCGGATTCAAATCCTTTAGCCACAGAGAAATTTGACGAATGAAAAAGTTGCATTGGCCGATGTCGTTGTAACCTCTGGCGAAACCCCCTAAGCACCTTGTCAATTTTCAACATCTCTAATTTCCAAAAAAATGCAATACTCAGATTCTAAGTCCATTACCTGTCGAAAACTCATATCTAAAACTTCTATTTACTAAAATAAAGGCGAAAGTACGCCCAAATATCGATTGTGAAATGCCACAAGTTCCATTTTGTTTTCTACGTGACGAAAAAAAGAAGGGTGGTAATGATGTCATGATGTGCAACGTTGCTAGTGGATGTGCAAATTCGAGCAGAGCCACCTCTTGTGCCGTCGTATAAAAAATTCCTACAGCAATCCAGATGACCCAATACACATTGCAGAGCAGTTTCTCAAGTGCCACAATTTGTGTTAGCAAAAGAGCGGTTTATATTTAGCCCTGAGTGTAATCGATGCTAACAAGAATAGACCTCAGAAAGACGGATTAAGTCACAACACCAAGCCTCAAACTGCAATCTTACCTCGTGGAAACTGATGAGGCACGAGGGCCGATTTCTTCCACCAAGAAAATAGTTCTGCTTCTCGCCATGATAATGTAGTGCTGTCTCTGCTAAACATGCTACAAGAAGTTATTCTTCACTCTTCACTCACGCAGTACGAATAAGGAAATTTTCACCGTAATCAAGGTTATTTGCGTTCAGAGAAAAATACCCCGTACTTCTCATCGAAAAAAAGTATAAAAAAACAATAAATAGACAGAAACTGTTCCCAATTCATGGATATTTTAGCTCCTGGGTAAAAATTTGCGTTTCGAGAAAAGTTATGATTCGCAGCTTAAATACAACACTTTATTTTTTGCATAAATTGATACTTGAAACTGAAAGCTAAAAAAGAGCGTGATGTCGATTGCCTGCTAGTAAATTTCACGTAAATAACATTACCATGCAAAGTCACGATTCGACCAGGGACGTTGTGAATACTAAGAGGTCTGCAGTTATTTAGCTAAGCCATTTTAAAACTGTAGGTAATTGCACTACGAAAGTGCTGGTGCCGTTTGCTGTTTTATTTGAAAGAGAATCATCGGTTTAGGCACAAGCAAATGCATCACTCGTCTCCATTAAAATAGACATTCGACAAAGACCGCCAGAGGGCTCCTGGAGTAATACAGAGAGCGCAAAAACGAACGTTTAACAGCAGCGAAAAACCAAACTTTGAACGTTGTCGAGCAAAATGATTTGGGATCTTGCGCAGCTTAATCCTGGAGTGATTTTCCACGGCGAAAATTTTCGATTTCGGTTTTAAACTTCGCTTTGTTAGTGAAATCAACGATACTGATGAAATAGGTTGACATTAAAAAAATGCAAAAGGCTACAGGAGTGGGTTCCAGGTAGCAAACATGCTTAAGCGCCACCAAATTTTGATGTCACTTATTTTGAGGTGTATAAAGTAATGAGATATAAATGACCGTAATTTTCTGCCCTTGTTTTAGATCAGTCGAATATTCGCATGGGCCTACTCGCTGTCGGTTTCAATTTTGATAGCAACATTGCTATTTTTCAGTCTTTTTCACCTTGCATTTGTCCAATCACACCAATTTCGACGTCTCCGAATATCGAATAAAACAGATACAAACTTCAAACCGCCTCCCCCTTTGTCTTTCAATCGATATGTATCAGCCCCTTTCCAACGCCCCGATTCAGTTCCTTCCGTCCCCAACGCCTCGTTGCCGTTCTCCTCGCACCTCTACACTCACCCTCGTGACAACCCTCAAAAGACATCCACGGAATCTCCACCGCTTCGACAAGGGAGTCGTCTGGCCGCGCCAATACCCCAGACATACAGTTACGCCCAGCCCCATGGGCGTAGTGCTACAGGTTTCGGACCATTGACGGTGGCTACCACTAATTCCTCGCCCGAAGGCCTGTCCTTCGGGACTTTCACAGATTCATACATATCGCAGAAAACACACACTGAGGAGGCAGGGGAAGCAACCGTTTCCCAGGCAACAGCAATGAAGGAAGAAAAGCCACCCTTCAAACCGGTGCCTCTGCGCAGGAGCCAGAACGGATATGTGCCAGCTGAAGTAGTCACCCGAGTGACACCTTCTCAATTTGATGATTACGAAATGCAAGAGAACGAAGAGAGCTCCTTTTATGACATCTAATTTGCAAACAATTACTAAACAAAAGAGATTTCATACTTACTATTTCTAAGATAATTTCATATCAAAATATTTTTTTCAACTTACGATAAAATTGTTATTCACACTGATAAGCTTCACTGACTTTGAACTAGTGCTGTTTGCAAACAAACAAAACCATATAACATTTGGGTAAGGGGCAGGTAGCCCAAATTTGCTGTCGCCTCTATCTTTGATGACTGTTACCAGGCAAAGTGTAAATTTCTACAATGGAAAAAGCGAATAGGAGGTTGCAGGGCATAACAAAGCTTTAGTGTGTTAAGTTTGATGTGACGAAGTCTGAGGTCGGGCATGCGTGACTTTTGTGGCCGTTCACATAATTTCACTAAAATGGTATGGATAGCGTTTAGAAATGAGTTGGCCTGGCCTCAAGCACGCGTGGAAAATCCGCGGATTCCGAATGATTCATTGTGTGAAGGGCGATTTCGGCTCCACCGCAATACAGCGTTACCATTCAGCATCTAGGCTTATCTTCCTGGCCCTCAAAGACATCTTCCGTTTTTAACCGATGGCACAAGGGACCCAGAGGCAACACTCGGTAACTTATTAAACTGCTCAACACGCACATGTGTCGACGGACAAGGTCGTATGTACTTATGTAACGCAGAAGTGATCAGCATGGACAAGAGCAATGGTGTTTGTTAATTAACAGAACTCCGATGAACCAGTCAGTAGACTAGGTTCTGTGTGGTCAAGGGTATGATCAGACATGTTAGCATAAGCCACTAGCTACCTACTCCAAAATACGATCAACACATAATGTGTTTATTGAGATACATAACTTTGTAGCGGCTAGAGACTTAGCAATACCTTACAACCCTCTAGTTAGCAGCCCGTTACAACCCGAGGATAGGGGAAAAGGCGGCAACAGAGAACGCGACCGGTTATTGGTGTCAAACCAGCCAAGTGGCTTTGTGGGCGTATGAGTACGGGAGCATAACAGGTGAACGCTAACAGGGGCCAATGACAAAAAAGGGTGAGTCATTGGTCCACTCGGGCCCTCATGCAAGCATCACTCACGCGAGTTGGCTGTCAGTCCACTATAACTTGTCGTTTTCTTTAATAATCAGCCTCCTACATATCCTTTTTCTGTGCTTAACTCCAGACAAAATGGAAGTTAAGATATTTCTGCGGAAACAGTGAGCGTTAATCTGAGTTTGCCGTCTTATTGACATCATTTGCATTTACAAATTTGAAGTAATTAAGGATCCCATGTGTCAATCTTTTCTACAACTTTTTTTGGTGCTTAAGAAACGGTCGTGTCTACAAGTCGAATTTCTTTGTTACAATCTTTCTTCTTAAACGATCCTGTGGGTGTAAATGATCAACAGGATTGAAATTTGCATGGCGCCACTACAGTTGAAGAGTGAGTTAAGTGCTGGACACACTAAAGGAGTACATACATTATAACCACTGTCCGAAATTTCCACCCCGAAATGTATTCCATTTGCCTGATATTTTTTGTATTTTAAATAAAGCACAAGCATTTTTCATTTTACAAAACTAAACGACTAATGAATCAAAACACTACCTAACATGCTTGCTGTTTTTCTTATGACGTGCTGGAAGTGGGCTTTCATTGCAAGAAAGGTGGTAACTGCTGCCCCTACACCACTAAATTACTCACAATTAATGCAATTTGAGCATACATGGAACTACATTTTTTTTGAAATTGTTTGTTTTTTTTTTCTTTTTTTGCTTAGAAGGCCTCAATCTATACTTAGTGGTATTGTGCTGACGATTTTTCTATTTTTAGACCAACTTGATTGAGAATACGGAATTTGTCTTGTCCACAGATTAGAGCAGATCTTAATAGCCAGCACAACTCTCCTAATTCTCACCAAAGGCGTCTCTTTTATGCTTCATGTCCTACGCAACTGCTTTTAAGGCACACCTGATCTTGAAACGGCAATGGGTTTTTCTTTTGCGCTAGTGGCTTTCATAGCAGAAGAACGTTGAAGAGCTTTGCCAAAGCAACAACGCAAATCAACGGGCGTGTCAAACACGCAAATTCATAACTTGCTTGAAGACGTGGGCTTTACGAAACCAAATAAAAGCCACAACACACTTGGGCATTCACCATTTATAATAGGCACCACCATAGCCTGACTTTAGATTTCTGTAACGTAAGTTACATTACTCTGTCCTAAGGCTACAGTTGGTTATGTTGTCGTTCATATTGACACCACCATTCAAAATTTAGTCATTATTTTTCTCTCCAATCACGCTAGTAGATAATTGTTTAAATCAGGGTCATATCATACCCTATGTCATTATGCATTTTTCATGTTGTAATATTGGATTAGCGCAACTTCAAATGCCCTTGTCGATTACTAATATGACAACTAAAGCCGATAAAAAATAAATGCGAACTTAGAATAAACAAACATGGAAACTTCAAATTTAAATATACTTTCTTAAAGATCCTAAAGTGAAGCTATCGCCTTATTGGTTTAAATCTCAAACAAAAAAAAACCACAATGAATTTGTTAAGCCCACTTTATAGTGCTTTGGCTACTTTAATCTCTTCATTTTACTTCAACAGTGAACCAAAAAAGAAAGCTTATCCTGCAAGTGTATCTGATCTTTTTTTGATTTACAGGCGTACTGGTTATTGCAATATTGGTGACTTCGCAAAAAACTTAGCAACTTTCAAAAATAAACTGAAGCACCCGAATGACCGTATTCTTGATAGTTGTGGTTTCACAATTCGAATTAAATTTAGGCATTTGCAAAAAACGTCTCCTAGTTTTGGCACTCTCGCACTGCTCACACAGATAACTTGGGTTACGAAAATTGAATACCTAGTGGAAACCGCCTACCAAATCACGTCTACAATGGGTATACCGACTTCGACTATTAAGACCTTCCAAATACTAACCCAAACGTTAAATTGATGCCACACTAACTCAATCAAAACGAAGTAATCGATAGAACATAGGCGTTGCTTCATGTATATTGAATGTGCCTAAAATGTCCTACGGCCACTCCAAAATTTAATTCGCTGGCTGAACTTGGTCAGCGAGTTTATCTCAATTTACTGAGCTAGAATGTTTTGAAAAAGCCTAAAACAGCAGTTGTATTTATGAAAAAAAGTTAATTTCAGAACTAATAATAAACATCAATCGTGTAAAAAGTGAATTCCTGATAATCCCAAAAGAAATAACCAGAAGATTTAAATGAGCAAATGCATTTTGCTGTTTTCTTTATGGTACTCGCGTAAAATTAAATGCCAGCAAAGAGATTAATTATAGACATGGAAGGTAAAAGTTAAAAGAAGCTCGTAGGAAGAATGCTATTAATCCGAATGGGCATTGGCTACATGGAGAATCGGTCACTGCATTTCAAGTAATGCTCCAATTTTGCCTTGAATAATATCTTAAAGTATTTTATTCAAAATCTAATAAGCTACCACAATGTTATTTTAGATTTTTGCTGAAAACCAAAATACATCAAATGGCTGACTGGATTGTAAAATCATAGACAGCCCCAAAAAGTGTTTTCGTAGATATTTAGAATTTGGCAACAATTATACATGTCAAGCAACGAAAAATACTCTTTAGACATTTAAGTATTTTAAGCTTAACATAGATTACTTAATATAGATCAACAAACATAAAAAAGCATAACTACGGCAAGCCACGTTTTCGTAATATTAAACATGTACAAAATTCCGAGTTTGATAATTGAAACAACAGTCCTAATATCCACTGACTGTTGAATCAAAATCTCTGTATATCTAAACAAAACTAGTACGCTTAAACGCTATTTAACTTCAACTTTATATTTCGCTGGTATAATTTTGATTTTAAAACAGACTTTGCCGATTATTCTTGGAAAATAGAATTTGCAGATTTTGCCCAGCGTTCATTACTCTCTCTATAACAAAGGCAGCTTTACGATTTTTGTTCATAAGACCAAAAACTAATAGCAATGAACTTTTCGATGTTTTTAAGCCAAGTTTGTCTCTATGCTTTTCCAAATGTTTTAATCCATAGTTGTTAACGTATATGATAATATATGCTACAGTTTGTGTATTAAAAAAGGAAGATTTTCGAACAAATCCATCGATCAGCTAAAAATCCTTAAAGGGAGAATGCCAAATCATTTGAGTCAAGACGCAACTAAACTTTCAATAACTCGGAAAAACCTTTTGAATGCTAGCTCAACTTATTAACACAAAACTTAAAAAAATATTGGATTTAGAAATGCGAGTGGCTGATAAAGCCAGTTTTTGATGCAGTCAAAGTTGTCTTCGGTCCAACAAGACAAGTCAAACATAAGCATGATTCCCAAATCGCATTTATAAACAACTGACACTGTGCGCAATGTGACCGAAGTCAAAATTTGCCCACATGCAACGTTTTTTGAGGACACTATACAATGAACTTTTTAGTACCCATATTTTTCTGTTGCAGGATGTTATCTGTTGCTTTTGTGTCGTTCGTTGGTACCATTCTTGCTTGGATAGTTCAATACAAAAACGGTGGCATTTTAAATGCAGTTGTTGATATCAAAGCCAACGATGCTACAGGAGGCGAATCGTACGTCTTTGCTTTTGATATGAGCCGCATGATACAATACATGAAAGAAATTATCCTAAGAACCGGCGATAAGGAGTCCTTCAGAGTTCTTAAATCCCTACCTAAGGAACTTGGTGGTGGGGAAGACGGTGTCAATAAGGCCATTCAAAATCCCAACCGTGAAGGCGTCTTTATGGTCGTGCCCATCGTGGTCTTAATAATCATGCTCATAGGCGTCATTGGGCTCATTCTCATAAACCTCTGTTCTATGGTTTGCAATTGTGTCCGGTGCCTTTGCTGTTGCGGTTGCTATTGCTGTCGCAAGAGTAAAAGAGCTGATAGTCCATCGGAGGACGAATTTTCCGAGAGCGTCACTGAGGAGGAATCGGATTGGACAAGCGAAAAATACACGGACGATAGCGAGGTTGGTTTCCATTTTGCATTCTTATGCAACCGTTTTATCTACTGCTGGCATAATACTTGTTATTGCAGCCTCTCCTCAGCATAAAATTATTTTATTTTTTTCCTTTTTATCACATTTTGCAACGCCTCGAGTTATTTCGAAAGGAACATATTTAGATTCGCTCATGCACTAGACACACATATCAGTCCAACTCTTTAAAAAATTAATACTACTCACAACTATTCTGAACTACTAATATAAAATCACTCTAATTGAAAATGTTTATTTGGATATTCTGCGTCTGGTTCGACAAGGACTTTCAACTGCTTCTATTTTACCATCATTTAAGCCACTTAAGTTGCCTTAATGGCAATTTTCAATTTCCTAGCTGATTTAAGTATTCACGCGCTTTGATTGGCGATGTAAGCCCAAGAGGCAAAACATACTTGGGACTTGTAATAAAAAATTAAAAAAAACGTTTGGTGGTCATTTCGATTAAACGATGATTTCCTCTGAGCACTATGTGGCCCCCAGCAGCTTTTTGAAAATAGTCTTTCTTCATTCCCTTAAATTAATTAGAAATATAAAAAAAGACGCAAAAATCAACAAATTATTTTTACTATCCATTTCAAGTCATTTGAACTGACAAACTTGAGTCTTGTGACTGTATTAAATAAGTGCAGTCTGCTGTAAGCACAATGACCAAAACTAATGCAAAACTATTGTCCAGTTAAAGATAAGCAAACGTTTCATGTTTGACATGCATCAGAAATAGCTGCTTTTAACGGTAGATTTAGCAATATGGTAAAAAAGGCAAATTGCAGAAGATATCGCCCTAAACGACCAATGTCTCTACGCCGCATTGAGCTCTTTGGAGCTAGTAAGCACAATAATATTCGTTACACTCCGATCCCTTCCTATGTGCAACCAAAAATGACATTTTACTGTTAGGACGTTTGCCCGAATCCACGTAAAACAAAGTCCCCATGTCTATTAATGGACTCTCTGTTACATTGGTTGATGAAATCATTGTTCTCAAATAGGTACGAGGTTTAAGCTTTAAATGCACAACTTCTGAATCACTTACCCCTTAACATTCTTCACATATTATTTTCAGGATGACTTAGACTCACTGATGGCTCAACGCCAAGATGCCATTATGACGAAGATTGAGTCTGTCGCTCTCCGTTCGAAGGTAGTTCGGGAACACCAAGGTTGCTTTTGTTGCAGCTGTCACATCCTGACTACCATTCTCGCTGTGGCATATGTCACTGGACTCGTTGTTTGCGTCGTATTCTATGTAATTATGGCACAGCAAATCGTTAGCGTCATAGAAAATCCCTCAAACAATGAGCCACAGAGTGAATTAAGTGTCATTGAATGGTTAAATGGAAATAATTCCGATTTCAACTTACCAGGCACTGTAACGTTCATCCTCGACCAGACTGTGGCGTTAGTTGAAGAGAATGCCAATCAGCTCACAGAATCCCTTAGGACGACTCTCGTGGATACAACGGACAGTCTGGCTGTAAGTTCTCAAGTCCTGTCCCATTCACCAGTGTCTCGTAAATGTGGCAGATAATTATGCTACTTAGGTTTCATTCCATCAAACGCAGTACAACAGAATCTAACAGAGCCAATGGAGGCACCAGAAAAAGCCAAGGCCTTGTACTCGGTGGATCGGTAAAAGTAGAGTAAAACCTTTTAGGCTGATCACTCGATACACCAAATAACATAACATTGTTTAGCCGACAAGAACTCGAACAATTCAAATTGATCAGTTGGAGCTTTGTATATGATAGAAACTGAATATTAATATACGTTTTGGTAGTCCCACTACAATTTGATATTTCATTTCCCCGAATTGGTAATGAGTCTAAAGTTTTGTGTGCAATTTAGTTCCTCTTCTAATAACTGTGCACTTAAGGGATAGACCAAATTAAACGAAATCTAACACGATTCAAGCAGGTTACAAATATCTTTTTTTCAACAAAAAATGTGAAAGTTAACGTCCTGATTACTGATGTCAAAGTATTCAACGAGCATTTTTCTTTTAGCCTGACATGAAAGAACAAGTTAAAAACACTTTCGATGAACTGATCAAGCAAAACAACGTCGATCAACTTTCCAGTGATGCAGGGAAACTTTCGGCTGGATTTGATAGCCTGTCAAACAGTATTGAAACTATTTCGAGCACACGCGACGATGTTGTTGGAAAAATTAAACAACTACAGAAAAAATTTGAGGACATTCATTCATCTATAAAGACCGAATGTCAATCGCCAACATGCACCATTCCTGATGTACGTCAGAAGCTTTCGCTATCCGAATGTAATAATTAACATGTTGAGGCCCTTTACCATACGAAGTAACCCGGGAAGGCAATAAGTCAAGATTTGGCAGGCACGACCGTTTACCAGACGGCTCAGCCAAGTTATGTCGTGCTCATACAGTTGAGTGGACGTGTAAAAATAAGCACGGGTGTATGTGAGGTCACATGAATAAAGCGGGTGGTGGTGGTGGGACATGCAGAGGGGTTGATGAACCATTGGCCTCACGTGACTGACGGGCACGCCGTGAAAAGGGGGGACGTGTGTTGGACGCTGCTACGACAGGGCTATTGGACGTGAATCAATAGGATTCACTACAAACACATGATGCATTTATTAGAAAACACTTTGTGTGTTCGCATTTTATTCAAAATTTATCCTTATACTCTCTGACAGTGTGCAAAAAGGTGATATCCAAACCGTATTAAACAGGAAAAAAAACTTTCTGGCAGTCTAATAATAAACGAGCATTTTAGAGGATGATATTTAAGCATTCTCGTTAAGCCGATGTATTCACATTTCAATATTTCATTAAGTGGCATTGCTGGGAATTAATTCGTTGTGAAACATCATTTTAAAAATTAATGTTTACAGTCATCTATACACACTCAAAAGCCCAGAAGCTGGCTTAGAGTAAGTGGAACTTTAATTAAAAGCTACTCTGGGCCATCGTAAGGCTGTCAAAAGGTTACGCGTTCCGTCGGAAGGATTGTAGATAAAAAATATTTGCAATTACATGGAGTCTGGTAATTCTCCGTACTTCTGGTAGTAAGAAAAATCAATTTTCAAGCATCAGAAAACCAAAATGGAGCAAACTTCTTACGTTTGCTCTGATTATGGCAACTAGACCTGCATTACGTAGACAAAGAATTCAAAAACACAGTAAATTTCTGCCTGCTTACTTGAAATGGATAATTTTCAATGAATACTATATTTAAAACCTCCTCTGTTAACCGACCACTGCTACCTGAATTACTGTGGCGTTTTTATAGCAATAACAAAATCACTCTGAGGGAAATACTTCTTAACCTTAAAATAAGTGATACGCTGAGGCTTTGTCTTAGGTTGCAAGCCGACACTAAGCAATTAGAAATAGTGATTTTTGCATTTGTCAAGAAATACATATCAGGATTCTTGGGGATCTCGTAATTTAGCGTTAATTGGAACAACACGGCATCATTGTGGTGGTCCTCCCTGTTTTGCTAATCGATCATATTTGAACTTTTTGCCTTTGTGAATGTAAAAAAATTTTAAAGAATGCAGTGCTGCAGTCAATTTTTACATGCGTTTATACATGTTTTAGGAAGACAGGGCAGTTCTCATGATTAATTTTGATGAGAAAGCTGTTAAAGGCAACAGTATCGGAGATGCACTACACCAAGTCTCTTCCAAATTCAAAATTATTGCCGACAATTTAGTGAAGCTATACAAAAAGCTGGTTGAATATCCCGATACCATAGTTGATGACTTGATGCATCAATTGGACTTTAACGAACTCGTCAATGAGATTTCAGGCAGTGCGTCGGAACTTACGACTCAGGTCAGCCAGCAAATCTCACAAGCAAAGCAGACCATCCCTGACGCCATTAAGAAAGCCCAGCCAATTGTAAAAATCGCCTTCTTCGTGCCTCTACCAATCCTGCTTCTGATTGCCCTCATTTTGGTTTCATGCACCCTCTTTTTTATCATTGAGGCTTTCTGTAAAGGACTTTTCTCACCGACCATCAAACAACGTAAGTCATCGTAAACGAAAGCATATCAGTTATGGCTCTCTTTGAAAATGTGCCAGTAGCAGTTTTCTTTGTCCGCTTGCTTTGCTCCGTTAAAGTAGTAAATCAGGGGTCTGGTGTAGCAGTAATGGTGCAGCTATATATTAATTTTAGGTCCAGTTGACACACCATCACTTACCCTTGAATTGATTTTTCTTCCTTGTCGTTGTGCATTATTTTCTTTTTTTATTATGCATGCGGCACGTCCTCTAGGCTTCTTTAAAGAATATCGCGGTTCTCACTATTTTATACGCTTAAGCTATCAGTCTGCACAAATCATTGGTTAGACGTTTTTCGAGTCGTAAGGCGTTAGTGTTAACTCGCTATGAATAAAATTGTGGTAGTTTTTAAAAATTAAGTCGATGGGAATTAAATGCATCCAAATTTCCCATTATCGTGCCAAGAATTTATCGGCAAAAGGTAGTCTACTTAGCTACCCAAACTACGCGTCAGTTAAAGGCAATTTGAATTAATCACACTTGCTTAGATTTAAGTTCGGACGATTTTTGCTTGGGGCTTTGGCCTAAGGATGCTAGCAGACCCACCAACTACTAGGATTCCATCACATACGCACGGAAGATCTGTGGCCTAGGTTGTGTCATGTTGTTTTTTTTTTGGCCAGGATAATAACTAGCCGATAAAGCACAAAATTATTTTATTGTTCAACATTTTACTTTGAAAACGTTAGTCTGTAACCTTGTGATGCTACTTGACAATTAAAGGTTCTGACAGCAGCCTTATTTTGCATTCCAGGATCTGATGGTCGTCGGAAGCGGAAAAGTCACATCTGTGGCGCTATTCGTTTTCTGGTGTTTTCAATCCTACTCATTCTCATCCTCCTTTTCTCAGTCTTGTCGGTTGTCTTTCTTCTCATTAACAGTTTTTTGGCCGCTGAAATCTGTCCGTATATATCACAGGAAGATGGAATTGGCATGACTGACCACATATTGAATAGTGTGCTGGAAGATAATGTCCCTGAGCCGACCAGCGATTCCATCATACTAATGAAGGCCCCTAAAAATGTCCTCAATGGCTTATTCGTGGCCTGTGATCCTACAAACCATTCCACAACCGACCAACCACGACTGCTTCCAACCCTCGGCATCAAACAAGTGGCCAATTTTAAAGTGCTTGTGGAAAATGAGGACTTCAAAAAAATGATAAATGAAATCGCTCCGTAAGTCCAACCGTTGACCCTTTTTGATTACCCGGTATCACAAAGGACTAAAATATTCTGGTAAATAGAATTATAGAGAAAACTATCGATTTTGTGGGTACTAATGATTTTACTTCGCTTTTTTGGAAAGCTTTGTAAGTCAAACGGGCCTTCTCAAATGAACAGGGCTTGCTAACTGCCGAAGTTGAAATCAAAAGAGCCTATTAAATTTTTCGGTGGTCGTACAATGTCTAGGAAAGTGGCATATTTACCAGATGTTATTGCATTACCAGCATCGACTTAATTAACTGCAACGCCCCCATTATGACCCAAGTGTCCGTGAGTGACCATCAATTTGATGATAACACAATTTTGGCATTTATTTATCTGCTTTAGAAAAGCTGCCGATAGTGTTTCTCAAGTGTTGCCTAGTGATCTTAAACAAAATGTTGAAGAACTACAAAAATCTGTGGACGTTCTCAAGAAAATGATCAAGGAGTTTGATGCTAAGGTAAGTGGTTGTAGTAGAATACTATAATGTACAGATCAACCATTGACCATCAAGTTTAGTGATGCACAGTTTGTTCAGGTTTTAAGCAGCTATGTCGGTTGAACTCAAAATTTCACTCACACGAGGATAGGTCTGCTAGTTTACCATCGTGTAAATTATTCGTCTGGATATAATCATTTTCTAGATAACAGGACTACTTTCTTTAAAATTAACTGCACTTATGATAATGTGACAGCAGAGTCCGGAACTTTAATGGGAAAAAGTGAAACCTGTTTTTGATATTTTGTGTTTGTTTATTTAAATTCATGTGTTAGGGCCCGATTCTTTTGGACACCACATATAAGAAAGCAATCCTGGGTAATGAGTCCAAGTCCAGTGGTTTTAAAAAGGCCACATTTCACAAATTTAGGAAACACCAATTTCGTTTTTCTGTCTCTTAAATGCTAGAAAATTATCCATTTTTCATTTTGTCTAATAAATTTTCAAAGAAACAAAGCATCGTTACTATGCCCATATAATAATTTAGGCCGCCGTCGATGAATTGAAAAAAGTTGATTTAATTGGCACGCCAGAATTGGCGAAACTACGGCAGCTTGTAGAAGAGCAACTGAAGAATACTGGTGTTCCAAAGGAACTGGACAGCGCCATTAAAGAACTTGAGAGCGCAAATCCTTCAATTATTCAGTTGCGCGATGCTTACAGTGGAATTTTAGCTGGAGAAACAGTTCCTGATGAATTAAATGCGTACCTCGGAATGGCCCTAAAAACGATAGAGGTTAGTTCATTTCAAGTGAAATGACAAATGGTCACCAAAATTAACTTTAAAGTCGCACGTTAGTTTCTACCTATGGGAATGGAATGCTGAATTCCTGAGAGCAACTAGCAAGAACGTTTTCCTGATTGGATTTGAACAAAATGGCTTCAATGAAGTCAAGTTGAAACATTTCAGATGTCCTCAATTGCTTTTTAAATAGTTTTTGCATTAACTAAGGGCCCTAATATTTATAAACGAGGGTAGAGCATTAAATTACGTGGGTAATTTAAACAAGCTCTTGTGAATATTGAATGCACACAAAGACACTCTTGTAGCGGCTTGTAAAATCAGAATTGCCTCATTAAACCAAACTTAGAGATCTGTAAAACAATGTGCCTCTTGGTGTGTTATAGACTATTTCAGACAAAAATGCAATCGAGAAACAGTTTGACGACATTATCACACGATCTGTGAATGAAATGCTGAATTCTGTCCTCGATACCTATACAAACGCCGTCGATAAGATGATCACCACCATTCTGCCCTGCGGTGGCTTGCATTATGTGGTGAAAGCTGCAGTGTACACCGGATGCTCAGACACAGGCTTAATTCCGCGCTTCTTTGGGTGGGCCCTGTCTCTTGCTCTCGTCACCCTCTTCTCGTTCCTATCCTACGTGGGAGTCTATAACCTCTGGTGTATACAGTCGCGTCAAATAAAACGTCGGTATCGCTAAACGCAAGAGCTCACACACTTCCTTTTCCTTCCTGAGATTACTCACATTACCTCGCGTGCACACAGAAGAAATCCTTAATTTTTCATAAATATATTGTTTTGAGAACAAATAAACATGTGTTATTTCAAAAAGCACAGCCCCTGCTGCTAAAATAGCAGAGGTCCTTAAAAATGGGGTAGTTTATAGTTCATTGGAAATAAACTGTCATTAAGGAGAGTTACCTAAGGGGAAAAAATGTTGAGTAGGAATCTGAGTCCATAACGAGTTTTGCAATTTAATAGCTAAGAACCACCATACCTGTTTTCGATTGATATTACCTTACACGTATTAGTAATCAACATCAATGAAGACTTGTTTCGGGAAAGGGACAATTCCAATGAATTTGAGATATTTCTAGCAAACACAGATAGGGTACTTTTGAGTAGATGTCAATCAGCTCATGTTGAATCCAAGTGCGAAGATCAGGTGGATGCTATTTGCTCATTATCTGAATCAACGATGACTGATCGAATCATCATCAACTCTACTAAATGGACGAGAAAGATGTGAAGGTTCTCTAGTCCATTCTGGCGCCTACGTTCTGGTAAGCAATCAACGCCACGGAAAATCCACAGTTTAATTGTGTAACTTAATTGCTTCCATGTATTTCCTTTGAAAACAGTTCACTTTTGCAGTCCATATTAAAACTGGTATTAAATGTGTATGATATCGGGTTTCCGTTTGACACGAGTGTATGTTACGTTTGCCCGTAACCAAGAATAGACCAATTCAGATAATCAGCACCCAGATCCTTTGTTTGACGCCAGAACCAACCTTTCCACGCAAATGTAAGACAAGACAAGACCTCGTCCAGAGAGCTTTAATTGTCTCAGCCAAATTCCGAGTGATCTGTCAGAATGGCTACACTTATTTAATTCAAGGGTGGTTTTGACCTAATGGATGAAAGCAGGTTAAAACAGATGGGCTTGCCAGTAGAGTGCCGAGGGGGACACTCACTGACGTAGAGTGTTTATGGGAAATCCTGAATCCCCAACAAAGTAGTGGCTCAAGTCAAGCTATGACTGGTTCGCAGAGAACAAATTTCACACCGCCTATAAGTAGATGCGTTTTCACCACCCTCCAAGTCTCCTAATCGGCCAATTACTGGTTATTCCCCATTGTCACCCTGTGACTTATATTAGCACTACTTTTAGCACTCACCACGTTGATTTCATCAGCTTTGTTAGTAAACATTTAGTGTTTGCGTATTAGGCAGGCTTTAGAATCTGCCTACCCATCGGGAGTGCCACTACTTCATCATGTCCCACTTTTAAACTTATTTCCTACTTATACGTATTGGTAGTCGGTGTCTACCACTACGAGAACACAAACTCATTTGTATGATGTCCTGAACTAATTGCTCTCACTCTAGCAATCGAGTTTGGCGTGCCTATTGCTTACACTACTCCTGTAGGGAAACAATGTGGAGAATTGAACTAGCGTTTTCATATTCTTCAGAAGTGGCTCATGTGAAACACAGTATTAAGAGGTCTCAAATGCTAAGTAAAAGGTAGACGTTGGGCTATTAAATGTACATGTGAAATTGCATTTTGTCAAAATAGGCCATTAACACTTGTGATGGAAGATGTATGTGCCAAATACCACTTCAAAATTACTGACAATCCAACTTGGCAAAGCACTTCAACAAAAAGACGTCAGAGGAGGCAATGTTTGGCAAGGCCAAGGTGATGGGTTGAACGTCCGGTGACGCCATCATCCACCATCTTTCCTACTTACACACCTGTCATGTGGGCCAGCCTAGATAAACTCGCACCTTCGGCAACAGAGTCACCATGCACTTTTGATTTTAAATTTACCGAATTACTGACTAGCCCCAAAATTAGTAAAAATTGAATGGATTATGACCAATTCGACCAATGCCATAGAGGGAATCTATGCGACATTAGATACAAATATTTATTAAACATGCAAAATTTGTTAAAACATTAGTTATCAAAATTTCTAACTTTGCGATGAATATTTTCGGCACCAATGATTGTTATAGCTAGCTTTATAAGTTACAGAATTTATTTTTATGCAACAAAACAAGTCTACTCATTATCAAAACGTAGGGTCACTATGTGACTCCTCACACATTAAATTCATAATTTATCCCACAATAATCACGTTTAAGTTTGACCTAGAAGCAGACCGTCATAAAAACACACTATTTTTATTAAATGTTGGTAATAAGTTCAAGTAAGCTGGGAGTTTATTGCACTCTTGTTAAAAAAGGGATATAGAAAATTGTTTGAAGTGAAATAAATAAATGCCCATTTATATAAACAGTGGCTAAGTTCAAACGGATGCCTTTTACTTTTGTAAATAACATACTAAAAATAATAAACTAGTAGACACTCATTTGAAGTTGTTCAAAAATTAATCAAGCAAAGGATTAGCTTTACTTTTTCCGTCCCGAAGCGGTTAGAGAACCACAATGTGGCTTAGCAACCAGCCCTGACATGGCCCGACCGAAGAGACGGAAATGAATGCATATAGTGTATATCTCAAGTTAATTACTGGTGCAGTAGAGGTGTGTGTACAAGGTAACAAATCAGTTTATATAGCCTAGCTAAATACCCAATCCCTACCCAAACATATTTTTTTAAGTGAGTTCAGGTAAATTTACTAAATTGTGTTCGGTCAAGCTTTCTGTGTACGCACACACCTTCTAAAACTGCGCTCTCGCCGCTTGATACATATTATTAATTTCTTTATAAAAATTAGTTTGAATTTTTTTAGCTGTGCTTGCTGCATTCTTAGCTGTCCGGTGGCCTATAATTATGAAAATTACTTCAATGCAAACAAAACCTGTTTTCATCGAATACATTTGTTTTAATCATCCATCCTTTTCCTGAAGTCTCGACCGGGCATAAGTCTGAGGTTTTGCCCGCCGTTTTGAATTTGTTTCCAGACCTGTCTTGGCAGCTTACTTTGGTGCAAGTTGACACTGTACACCTAACTGCCTTGTCCTTAATTTGTTGACTTTGTCAAATAAGAGTCATGTCGCAAAAGTTGCTGACGCCGTTAAAAAAACTGCCGCAGCAAATTCAAAATCTGTCAATATTTCAAAAGCTTCAAGACTTAACAAGTGGGAAACCGACAGGAACTCTTTCTTCCTTTTTTGTAAGTTTCATTTTTGTTTTATAAAGGTTTTTAAGGTCTCTAGCTATGGTGTAATGGATCAGCCTGTTGGGTTGGCTTACGACAGATACCTTTGTCTTCTGGCTGTCGCTTACTCTCGCGGATATCTTGAAATGCAAGTTAAAGCTATGCACAATAAACGTCTTTTTTAGATACGGGATGCCGGGGCTTTCTTTTCCGGTTGATTGTATTGTCAAGGATGTGAAATTTATTGAGTTTCTTCGGAACGAAGGGCGCTTGCTTCTTGCGACCTCCTCGAATCTCGTTATTCTTGAATTGAATGCCAGGTCTGGCCATTGGGAGAAAAAGCATTCTGTTGCCCTTCCATTTGTGTAAGTTTCTTTTGGCGTCTTGATTAATGTCTGGCACAACGTGAAAGGAAATAATGCTTTAAATCGCTTAGATCGGAGGAAGAGATCACCGCTGTCGCTATCGGGAAAGACGTCGTCTATGTTGGCTCAAGTGCTGGCGTTTTAAGGCAGGTGGCTGTTGACGCTGGAAATATGGCAATAGGTGACGACGATTTAACGTCACTTTCACCCCCCGTCATTTTGAATAAGTAAGTCTCGCTTCCATGCACCAATTAGGGCTTTCTGGAAATTCAGTAGTTACTTTGTTGCTTCGATATTTCTCGTTTTTAAGCATTTAATTGCCAATTATTTGTGTTATTTATATTAGAGAGCATCTTGAACAATTAGCTTATTATTATACTACATTTATGTTGTGTGCACTCTCAAATGAACACTTTGGTTGTTATAAAGACACGGTCTATCATTGTTAATTTTTCAATGATTTGTTTTCGAGTTACAAGCTTTTATATCATGCAAATATGCTCTAGGATACCTGAGGACAAAAGGGAGCTGCTAAGATTAAATTCGGCTATAGTCTCTATCGAGCTGTATCCAGATGGCAAGGAACTGCTTCTTGGATACGCCGGTGGAACTGCCATTGTCGTGCAACCACAGACTCTTCCAGTAGCTCCCCAAACTACCGCGGTTGATGAAAATTGCAAAGAACCTGTTGTCAGCGATGAAAAGCCCGAAGACGCTGAGAGCGTTGAAAAGCCGGCGTCAAAAGAATCAAAGGAACCACTGGGTTTAGAAGCCAAAAAGCCAGAAGAAAATTTGCCCGTTACTACTGAAGCATCAGCACCAAAAAAGAGTAGGACTAGTGAACGTTCTACGTCTGCCAACTTGCAGTCTCTGCGCACTCAAGCCACGAAGAAATTTCGTACACTCTCCAAGACCATCAAGGACAAAATTGAGCACACAGCTGAAGAGGTACTGCAATGCCCGCAATAACGTTCTGTGTCGTGTCAAATTTGTTCGACTAACTCTAATTTTGTTAACTTACTTAGAGGCCGGTTTCGGTTCCTATCCCTGCGCCGCCAAGCCCTCGCGTTGTGCGTCTCTTACCTCACACACAAGCATTGTGCTGTGCCACATGGCGCATCACCCCCTCTGCCCTCCTCACCACGGAAACCAGTCAACTCGAAGTACTTATTGCCTATGACGACGGTGCTTATCTCACCTGGACCATCCCGAAGTCGGAGTTAGAAGTGGAGGAACCTGTCATAGCCGCCCACCAGGATGTTGCCAGTATACCCTATGGCAAGTCAATAAAGCATTTACTTTTGTTCACTTCTCTCAGTGGTCCTGTTTGACTGTAATTTTGTCACCCCCAGGACCCTTGCCGTGCGCTCCGATTCAACGTATCGTTGCCAGACCTTCAGTGAGGTATGTGCAGTGTTAGCTACTGCTTCGCGAACCTTCGTTATTTGACGTTGTCTCGGGTCAGCCGTCACCCCGATTTTCTCCATCATTTCATTAATCTTTGTCCATTTCTCTCTAGCCCAGTCGCTGGTTTACAAAGCCTCATGAACTTGGCTTCACGCGACGGCCTCGTCTAATCACTTATTTGATTTCCCGTTTTCAGCGACTCTGTTATTACCGCATTCGTCGGAGGGTTGCCTCGTGCCCAGCACGCCGAGAAACACACCCTAACCGTTCTTGGAGGGGGGGACGAGCACGTCTGTTTCCAATTCGGCTCCGCTATTCGCGATTTTGTCGTTCTGCCCAGTCATCCCTCCCAACCAGAATGCAAAGTCGGCAAAAATGCAGAACACGATGAACCCAGTATGCCGCTGCATTTTTAAATTACACAGCCCTGTAATTTGCTTAATTTTCAAGGTGGCAGGGCTTACCGAGTGCAGTGTGGCGGTAAGGTGGCTAACTGTATAGGTGCTTCCCTAGGCCTAATTTTAGCTTTTAGGACAGAGGACGGTGTCCAATTCATTTCAAAACATGGCTGAGCATAATGACGGCCGTGTAGTATTAGCATTCGTCAGCCGATATGGCCTTTCCTAGACCCTTATATCTGTGTTATCAGAGACGATCGGGCATATAAAACCGGGGACCACATACCCACATTAACAAGTCCGATAAATTTGAAGGCCTGCACCAGGCGGAGCTACTGGGCGTAAGGCTTGACCGAATCTGAAATTTCCGCTTCTACTGATAAATGTCTTCTGATTTTTTTTGGGCGATTGCGAAACAAAACAATGAAAATAAGCTTCAATTTCGCCAGTCAGTTAGATTTTTGCAAGAAGGAAGTTACCATTGACTAAAATTTCCAATTCGGTTTGAAAAACGATGACTATGATAGTGCGGTGTACGTGATTATAATGCAATTCGTTTCATGCATGTAACAACAATATGTGAGCCATGTATTTAGGTGAAATTTATATCTATAAGGCACTTCTAACCACTTTTTAGTGCCATGTAGCTGGCGTTATTATTTTTATGTCGTCGATGTTGAAGTAAATTCCTGTCACACCAAACAGTTTTGGCATTGTAAAATCACAAAACTAGCCGCCGGAGTGAATGCACAAATGCCTTACAGGGAATGAAGCAGTGCACGAGCAGCACGAATGCGAATCCTCTGAGCAGCGAAATGCCACGGAGGTCGGCTACCTCCTTGTTCTCACGGAGTGCGAGCTTGTGGCCATTGACCTCACCCAGCCCTCCTGGCCCGTCATTCCCTCGCCGTACCTCAAGCACCTGGACTGCTCCGAAATCACGGCATTGGCTCATATTTCGGTGAGTTCCTCCAATCGCCCCCTACTCCTTCGCCAGTTGTGCTCGCCTTGTGCGGTATCTGAGGTCTAAATGTACAGCTCGCTAGTGCTTGTGTAAAGTCACAAGTATCAGTGTTCCTACCCACTACATTTATTCAAAGCCTACATTATTAGAGACCTAACCCAATTTTTTTGTTATCTCGCCGGGCCCTGCTTGTAATCCATCTCGGGTCAGCTCAGAGCTGTGAAGATGTTTCTCTTCGCGTTCTCTGGTCATAATGACCATTCAAACGTAAAACGCTCAGATCCCTTAAATAGTTTTTTTAATCGATTATTTATGATAAGGTTGCCTTCTTGCGCTGTTTTTTCTCTATTCTGCCATCTGAGTGAAATGTAGTCTGGGATAATTGTAGTATTGTGGAAAAAGTATTTACTTTAATATCCTCTTTATTGATACATTACAATCGCGCTCTTTTCACATGCGACTCCACATTGTAATTAGATTGAAGCAATGGCCAATGGCTTCTTTATATTTTTGTTGAATACTCATTATTCCAACGGCTACGCAAAATCGCCGTTAATTTACGCATTATCATTCTGACACGTACCTTGATCAGCGTGCCTAATAACCTTCGTCCGATGTAAAATCCCTCTTCTATCTTGCCTCGCGCATTTTGCAGTGAACAGTAGCGGTGTCTCGCTGAATTCTACCATGTCGAATAAAACCGCTCACAAACATTAAAAAGTCAATTTCACAGTGTGTGTGTATCAACTGCCGTTGTAGCCGACGCTTATTAAGGCAATGGATGTACATAATTCTGTTCAAATTTCACCATTCTGACGCGCCTCTAATCATTAACTTCCCGTAACCTCAACTTCCCTTACCCAACAGCCTGATTCACGAGTTTCGTTTCATTCACAACTTGTTTGGCGACTTCGATACTGTGTGCTGCCAGGTGCTATGCATTACCGAAGTCACGGCTTCTTTCCCTACCTTATATGGGGCTAGTGATCCTCAGTATCTTGTCACTTCCTGTTTTTTTTCTCGCTCAGGTTCCATCGAAGTTAATGGCCTCCATCAAGGCAAGTTGTTCTCCTAGTGGTTTCGAACAGTGGCCAGTAATCGGTGGTCGACAAAATGGTTTTTGCTCAGGCGTTGTTCAACACCCTGAGTTCAATGACATCCTGGCTATTGCGCACGCCAACTCTGATGTTTCACTGTGGCACATTGTTCGGGGCAACTGTTTCCACTGTCTTGGACGCATCCACACTCTGTCAATGTTCGAAGTTGGAGAAACTGGATGTCATATTGAGAGGAAGGTGAGTTTGCCTTTTAGAATCAATTTAAGTGTGCATGGGAGTTCCTAAACCGATATTTAGAAACTATCCTTTCTCTAGTAGACCCCATCGTGATACATGTTGTGGTTGTAAGTTATCAAGCGCCTCGTGCGCTAGACCAGCGACACATTCACTGCCCGCCGTAGATGGGGTATGACGTTTCAGAATTTAATAAAAAAATTGGCAATAGTTGTTGTGTCATCTTTCCCGCGCCTAGGCTGAGGAGGAGGCTTGGCCCCCGTTTCGTCGTGTGGGCGACTGCGTCGGCGATGCGGCCGCGGACCCTCGCTGTGCTGTGCGCACCCTCTCGCTGCAGCTTGTTGACGATGAACTCGTCCTGTTGGCTGGTGGTACTGCTGGCAACTTCACTCTCTGGTCAACGGCTTGCCAGGGGTCTGTTGAAGCGGATGTGCCTAAAATCTCAGTCGATTTGCTCGACGGCGTAGTAGAAAAATTCATCTGGGAGGGATCCGAGAGCTTCAGGGTGAGTTATACGTTCCGCAAAACTAGGCGAAGCTCACACGCGGGGTAGGAATTTGCTTATGGCAGTAGGCAGTCGTAGTTCACCATCATCTGTTCCAGGTAGTATTTTGCCATGTTTTCTGTCAATAAACGGTCACCCAGAGGCTAGGTTCAGCTCTTTTGTCAGTCGGTGGTTCTGCAGGACCACCTCATTATTAGTCTAAACCGCTTTCACTCCCTATTGCCCTAGAAAGTCAGAGTTTTTCGTGCAGCCAAGTAACCTGTGGGCAGATTTCGCCCATCTCTTTCGAGGGCCTCCCGTTTTTCGTATTCCGTTTACTACCCCTGTTGGCATATGTGGCAATCATGAAACCTTTTACTAATTTACCTAATCTTATACATTCTGTTCTCGTGTGCAAGTCCGCCCTAATACGATATGTTTTGCTGTTATACACAAAGTGAGGGAGCTGTTTTCCGCATTCCATTCCCGTTTAGCCCTTAGAAGGCGTCTTGAAGCCCTGTTCCTCGTCCTGCCCAGTATTCGGCCTCTGCTGTTTGGTCCAGTTCAATCCACCCTCGTCCATCACCGCTGTGACCTACGAGCCGCGGTGGCAGGCCCTGGCCGTCGGCTCGCTCCACGGCTTCGCCCTCATCGACCTCAAGTCAAACGCCGTGGTGTACAAACAATTGACACACGACCTTCTTCCGGTTTGCTCTGAGCCCCTTCAACCCTCTGGTGTCCGTAAGTCTCGTTTACCTGCTGCCAGTTTCGTCTTGAAGTAGTTGCTTGCGTGAATAAAGCTAGTACGTCTCGACTCAAATCCTCGTGTACCTTGTCTTTCCCTGTTCATTACCTCGAGTTCGTCGGGGCTCCCTCGTACTCGGTTGGTTCTGATCAAATTCAAGTTAACAATCGCCAAGGTTAGCATGTCGGTCCGGACTCCTTACATTATAAAATTCACATTTTATCGTGCTCTGCACACACCCGTCTTGTCTTTAATAATATGATAAACATTTAGCAAGTTCTTATAACAGTTTATAAACAGTTGGTAGTGTTACGTCATGGAGCAGGTTACTTATTAATGGCTCAGTGCAGCGGTGTTTCTCAAATAGTAAACTTAACATCTTAATTTTGTTAAAATATGTATTTTTTGGTTTAAAGCTTGGTGGGTTCGGGCAAGATCTCCAGTTAAAGACCATGTAACCAGTTCGGGACATTTTAATCCACCCCGAACCATGCCCTGGCAAAATCGACTCCAATTGAGGCCGTTTGTAGAGCATCAGAACATCGGAACGATTCGCTTTCCAATCCGCATTCTCGTTTTCGACTGTGTTGTCTGTTGCCATGTTCCACTTAATTCTGTGCGCTCAACTCGTACAACGCCAGAACTATTATGACCATTGCCTCTGCTCCTAGCATCATTTGTGTAACGAAGTAAGCGTCAAAAATTAGCAAATCTAAATGTTCATGTGCCTTACCACATGATTACTGAGTTTTGCGCGACTTTTATGTTCCGTAAAGTTGATGCACAGCGTTCAGAAAAACCTCACGATCGACCTTTGTTCTGCGTCCCCTTGTAAAAACGGGTGTGTGAAATCGAAAAAAAGGTAGGGACTACTGGAGATCTTGGTTGCTAAGTAGGGTGCGACAAGTACCCGCCGTGCTGAATTGGTGTTATCTGTGAATTATATTTATTTTAATGTAACATTTTTTGCCATACTTCCCCCTCATAAATGATGCCATCAGCATTAAGCATTGGACTAGTGCCCGTGCAGTTCTCTGTCACGTCCGTATGTAATTTTGAATGTAGGTGGCGCCGCTTCCAAGATTGTGGCCAGTGGACGTCAACTGAAGGAGACCCTGCGTGAGTCCTTCCGAAAAATCCGGAAGATCCGCTCACAGCACTCGACGGCCGCAGTTTCGCCGCCGTCACGCGAGGACGCCTGCGCTGACAAGCCGACGACAGCGCCTTCCACGGAGACCGTCCCGTCCAAAGGTATGTGGGCCCGGGCTTTTCTTCCAGGGGCGTCGTCACTCATTTTTATTCTTGTTCAGTCTCCGACCTAAAGTCATCTATCAATACGCCTGTTGTGCCTTCTTGGAAGTATTTTCTAGCGATTTCCAACGCACTAAATATTTACTGGAGGTACTGTTCGTGTGGAAAAAGTTTGCACGGTCTTTGGCCGCAGAGCCGTTGTATCCATTAACATTCAGAAATGACCTGCCCTATCTCACAAGACGGACACGTACATGTTGCCTCTATCCTACTTGAAGTTTTAGTAAATGCAATAGTCTTGAAAGTTCTAGTTTGCTTTGTCGGCACACAAAGATGCATTCGAACCAGCGGGAACATCTGAAACGCGGGTACACGTGTCAGTCTTGCCAGACAAGCCGATAAAGCCCAATGGTAACCGTGCAGACGCCGTGTCTTGGCTGTGCTTTGGAAGCACCAGCAACCACCGCGTCTGTCGAAAGGCTGTCATGTTGCGGTGGTGTGGAAAGTGCTTGCGTTAGCATAATGTCTGCACGCTACACTCTTCTCCGTAGCAGTGGTCAGTAAAATCTACGAACTTGGTTGTCAGCAACTTATTATTTTCCGAAAGAAAACGACTTACTTCACCCACCATATTCTCATCGACCCTGGTTTATGTAAGTCTGATATAAACCCTAATTACAGAAATGACTTTAATGGAACGAAGCCCGCGTAAAAAAGTCCGCACTTCCCAGCTGTGATAGTCTACGTCGGCGCTAGGCTGATGTCGATTAAGTCAGGTAAATACCAAACCCACCGTTTCGTCTTTTTAAATGTAATTTTTAAGCATGGACATCAAGCAATCGGCTAGCTTTAGGTCATCAACAAAAACGAACGTTCTTGTTAGATAGCGCCTAGATTTTAAAAAAAATTTGATGAGATTTAAAGGGTCACTTCTTCCAAGAAAGTGACCTCCTGCAAATCCATTTAGATGTCAGCGGTCAAAGCCTGTGCAAGCGGCACTTGCACCAACTGAAGGAGCTTGTTAACACGCAAGAATTTACCATTCTGAATCCTATTCTTAAATAAGAATTCTAAATTTTTGACATCTCATTATTCTGTAGCATTTCCACACAAATGCCTTTTGTTCAATGGTGTAATTTCTGATCGTTTTTCACAGCAAACTACAGTCCTGTTTAATAACACACACACCCTCTGCGTTCTAGCAGTCGCCAGTGGGGAATGACCCAATCAAGGGAATCGCCTCGCAGCTAAATCTTGTTGTTTTTGTCGCCGTCGATAGCATCGGTCGTGGAGTATAAAGGTGTAAAATCACAGATATATTTCCTGGCTTCATTTTTGACCCATATCGTAAGTAACACCTTAATCCTGTTTCTTATAAAAACGCATCATTCTCGGTTCTACCCAGATGATGTCGAAGAGGCAGCCGCAGAGGCTGCAGACGAGGCTCAGGCCGCAGTTGCCGAAGCACCAGCTGAGGAAGCCAAGCCGAAAGATGAAGAAGTCGACGCGGCGTCTGAGGCTAAAACCGTTGCCATCGAGGAGCCAGCGCAGCCCTGCCCCTGCCGCTTGAGACCGTCTGATACCGCTTTCGGTGTGTCAGCTCTCAGCATGGCCGACACCTACGTCATTCCTGGCCTGCCCGCCGTCTCTAAAGAGAACAGGCAGGCCTTTCCGGCTCCCCGCACTGCAACGCTGTTTGTGGGGACGCAATCCGGTGCCGTCATTGCTCACACCCTCGCCTGGCCCGTGGATAACGGCCCCATTGAGGTGAAGGCCGTCAAGGAGGTCCATTTCCAACACGCAGCTCCAATCGTCGGTTTCTGTGTACTCGACGCTAAACTACGCAGTCCTTTGGTCTGCAATGAGAAGAAGCGGTAAATGTGTTTGAACTATTTTTATTTGGTTTTGTGGCCTTGGTATTTCATCGAAATGTGTTTTTCTTGCAGTTGTGTTCCTGAAGTTATTCCTGAACCCCCTGCACCTATTCAGCCTGAGGCAGAAGACCCACAACCTGGCGAACCTGCGACGCCAGAGAACGGAGATGAAGCCACTCAGAAACCCGACGAGCAGCAGTCGCAAGAGCAAAAACCCACTGCATCCGGCGGCGACAGCGAGGGCAAGGCCGTGGAAGGCGGTGCCAAGGTGGAAGCGTCGAAAGCCACAGTCGACTGCCATGAGCTTCTAGTTTGCACTGAGGGGCAAGTTCGAATTATGATGTTGCCCTCATTGAAAACCAAGCACAAGTACAGGTTCTGGGAAAAGACTGCTACTGGCGGTGGTGGCCATGGCGGATTCAAACCCTCGGCTATCATCCAACGCAGAAAATCAGAGCAACCCGCCTCTTCTGCGGCTAATGTGGTGGAAGCTACTCCGCCCACGGAAACAAAAGTCAGTATTTCATAATTGTTTTCCCACATTTGTGGAACCACTGAAGTTTCATTCTGCCATTGTTTAAAGGAAGCCGAAGGCTCAGCTACGAAAGCTCCAGTCGCTACGCCTGAATCGGACTCCAGATCGGATCAATTAGAACAGACGGATGGTTGCGCTGAAAAAGAGGAAAAGCCTGCTGGTGATGCTAGCGCAGAAAGAGAAACCGCGCCGCCTTCCATCTGCCTGCATCGTGTTGCTGCTTTCGGCTTGCAAAAATTCCCCGGTTGTGAAGACTGGTATGCCGTGGTGGCCTTGAGAGACGGTCGACTCAACATCCTCACCGTTCCTGGACTCAGAAGAATCCTCAAAGGTACATTGTACTGTCCTGATAATTGTGTTGGTTGCTAGGTTATTCGATTGTCGTTGTTGTCTTAGCAGAGGTTAATTTCAAAATTTGCTGCTTGATAGGAAAATGAGATAAGTAGATGGCGATCAAGAGGACATTATCGGATTTACGTTTAGCAAATCACACCATCCATTACTTTCAAACGTCATGAATCCTCCTTTAGCCCTGTGTTGCGAACACCCCGAGTGCTGCTCCAATTTGACATCTCAGCAGGCTTACTCAAGTCCCTGCGTCTCCAGTTGTGCCAACCTGGTCTTCTGGCCCGTTGTCAGCCGCCTCGTAGTCGCCAATGAGATTTCTTTCTCGCCGCCGTGTCGTCTGGCCTCCCCAGTCTGTGTGCATGGGCTCAGAGGCACCGGCGAGGAGAGCTACTGTGTGTGTCTGCCCGCATGGGCTCGACCCTCCTCTGCAGTTGCCACCGCCACTGGCCAAAAGGCCTGTCTCAACGCGGAACCCGATGTCGCCGAGGTGAGTCAAGCTGTATTCGTAATTCCGTGACGTCATTGAACACTTCCCACGTGACCTCTGGGAGGTACCTCATCGCAAAAGTAGGTTGGTCACCGTGTGGTCAGTGGGGTGCATAGCATTTGCAAGAGAGACTGGCGTTGCTTTCGCTCACAATGGCGACACAATCTCCTCATGCTGCCAATTGGCATTCGTGTTGATGTTGACAAATATTTAATCCGAATCGCATGTGCTGGTTTAACGTGAATGGGAACGTGAAAATGTATTTTGGATGGTTTCAACTGCGTCGTGGAGCAATCCTTTGAGCAGCTCTCGCGGAACTCGAACCCGACTGATTTGTTCTCGTGCTTCAACGATTGCGTCCGCAAAGACATTCAGTCTTGCAATTTGCTAGTTGGATAGGCCACTAGTTAGTGGGTTTCACCAATCATTAGTATTCATCCAATTATTTTAAAAGAAGTGCCCCGCCTTGTGTGTTTTTAATCGGTGCTTGTTTATACAGAGTTTGAGATGTGCAGATCAGATTTTAGCTCATGATTTTTGCAGGCAATGTACCAAGTGTGTAACACCATAGTGCACGTTTGTTTATTTGGTGTTAGATTATGTACTTATATTCTAAAAAAATATTCATTGTAACTATTGTTCTACCAAATGCCATAAACTACCAAATGTTCCTATGATTTCGACCTGTGCTTTGTTGTAGTGCTACAAAGCGCTTCTTCGCATTGTTTTGCCAAGAGTCAACTCAAAGGCCTTGATTACCACTTTTTGGTTACGTGGTTTTTCATCTATCGGTGCTGTTCAGACAAGGCTCTACCACCAGTCATGAAATCTGACCAGTGTGCATTGTAGTGTTTTTGTACCGTCGTTCGTTTAAGGTAAACTAACATCTGTAATTTCGTTGGGGTCTATCAATGACACGCTGTTTGTTACTTGCTATTCATCCCAATCAATTTTTTGATCTAGCGGGTACAACAAGGGGTGCGCGTCTGAAGTTGAGTAGACTTTGGTCAACCGAGGGGACTTTGATCTGCTTCTTTTACTCCACCTTCTCATTGCTCACTTGTGCTTGTTTTTTTCATTCTGTTCCGTGCAGGTTACGGCCGACGGCACTCCAGTTGCTGTTGTCTCCGACTGCGAGGCCTCAGTTGACGCAGAGAAGGCAGGTGTGAAGACAACCATCTCGAGCCTCGATTCCACAGACATTGAAACCGCCAAAGAGGTTAATGAGTTTATCAAGGACATCACAAAGGGAATTGTGACTGAGTAGGTTCCCGATTCACGCATTTTACTTGTACGCTGTGAAGGTATGCGTGCGCGTATGTGCGTGGTAGAACTCGACACAGAATCACCGCCTGGTGTAACTTTAACAAACTAAAGTCAAGACATTACTTAGACCTATATTTAAATTGAGCACAAGCGGATATGTATGAGGAATCCCAGTTATTGGCGCTGTTGCGTTCATTTCATCCTGCCACACATTGTGGAGGGGGAGGAGGTCATGTTCGAGAAGGCGGGTGTGAGTCTAGAATGCATTTTGGTTGCAGCGGAGGCACCGTCACGGTGAAGACCACGGAGAGCTCCCTCGAAAAGCACACTGTGATTGCCGGTGGCAACGTGGTGACCACCGTCCACGAAACCGAGTGCGTCGACGGTGAAGTCGTCAAGGACGACATTGTTCAGGTCAAGTCAGACGTCGATGAAAATGCCGAGGACGAACAGAAGACATCGTGTGCTGGTGAGTCAGATTTTCCGCCACAATTCTTCCCCTCTTCAGCGCTTGTTTTATTCACTACTAGATGTTACGTTGTTCTTTTTTATATCAACTAGTTTACCTTCATGAACAGAACTGTAACACATTTGTTCTTTCTTTTAGTCACTGCATAAATGTAATCGTCGTTGACTCCCGCGATCGCGAGATGCAGATTCTCCTTGTCTGTCCGTGTGATTTTGGTTCTTTGCTTTTGCTTTCATAGTGGTCCTTTTCGACAATAATCATTGCCTTTTTTTTTTATTTCAAATCCCTTGGACGTGCAACGCAGACACCCTAATCACCGCTGCTTTTCTACCGATACTTGTGATGGACCTTTGACTGCTTGTGGTGTGCGTGCGCTTTCCCCTTTAACTAATCGACTTTCGCCTGTCACGCACACCCACCGCTGATTTTCGTTTTGAGCCACCCTGCCCTGCATTTTGTTGCTATTTGTGGACGTGTATATGGAGCATACACTGTGTAAAATTATTACTCTCACTGTCTGTGTTCGCTTGGAATACCTCTTTTGTTGATTGTCACGCCTCCCAAACGACTTCACACATCACTCCCCTATCATGCCACTTCATTGCACAACTGACGTACGCGAAGCAATCTTTGTTGTTTCCAAAATATAATAATGACATCTTCAGCACGCAGACACTTTGAACTTTGTCCGCTGACTTCGCATTGCAATTCATGCATGCGGATTTATTCATGGTTTTAATCGGGGTTGTTGTTGAGGAGGGTGCTTGACAAGTAAATCGTCAAAGGCAAACTTTCGGAAGCGTTCCTGAAAAGATCATTGCTCACGTGAACCGTCGATGTGTACACGCGCTCCTGGTAACCTGCGGTTACCGTGGCGTTATTTGGGTGGGAGCGTTGAGCACATGTTGATAGCTTTTTGAGCTAGAATTGTGGCTCAGCCAGTAGTCCGTGTTAGCTTTCCCAAACGTCGGAAAATGCAGGATTATATGCTCGACCAAAACTGAGCGTCGGATTTAAGTAGAACAGCTCCAAAGGAGGTGTTGGTCGGAGAACAGAGTGGTCGAGCGAACGAGGCAATAAAGTCGTGCCGTCTCTCTATTAGACTTCTGAGACTGTTTTGAGGGACATTAAAGTGCCTAGAATTTAAGTCTTATTTTTCATATCAATTCTGAGAAACTTTATTTCTGCTTAAAATTAAGGAAAACACTATTACAAAACTTTCAAGGATGACGCGTTTAGTTAAGTAATGTAGACCTGGGGTCTCAGAAACTACCTTGATACGGGCCACTGTTATGTGGTGCGTCCAGATGTCAGCCGCTGTTCTGGGGCTGACAAGCGCCAAAAGCACACTGTATGGAATAATTTTGACGAAATTGCTCCTTAGTACGCGCGTAGTCGCCTCTGGCAAGGTTGCTTTCCATCCTACGTGTTCGATTGTTTGAAATGATCCCGATGTGATTACTTCAACAGTGATCACGAAGATTTAGTCAAATTACGCACCATTTCGTATCAAAGTAGCTGTTCTGAATAATTTACAGGTCAAGTCCTGATACGGGGGACCATTTCGACAGATTATTACAGCTCCATGCTGAAATGCATGTTGTTGTAAAGCGGAGCCCTAATAAACGATACGCAAGCAGTTGTAAACCCGTTCATATCTAATCCTTCAACATGTTTGTATTCGCTTCCTGGGACTTCTTAAGCCTTATCGACCCTCAAAAAAGGCTGCTAAGAACTTCTAAGACATATGTTTTCTTTTTTTCATTGCATCAAGGTGGGCAGTCAAAGATTTATTTGGCTTCGTCCCAAAAAAATTATTTAAAAAAGTTAGGTTCAATTACCTTTTTTTTGAAGTTACAATCACTTACGAAGTTGTACACCACAATGAAGTAATGCATAAGCTGTACTTTGAATTTACTGGGCTTGATTGAGCCTTTACACAATTCAGCCTGTCTACTTCGTTGGTGTTTTTGATTAACATTTGTTGTGGCGTTGTTGTGGAATCGCGTGGTGTGCGTTCTCAACGGTCTCCACTCAGGATGCCTTTATTCCCAAGTTTACTAAATCCAGCCAGTCATGGTCCAAGTTACTGAGGCAGCTGTTAGTGTCTTTAGTGCGATTTAACTTGCAAATAATGGACCCGCTGGTAAGATTGATTGACCTCCCTAAGATGCAACTAACTTTTTTGTACGGCTGCAAAACAAAGTGAATCTTAAGCAGTTTTCTGTGGATATATTTGTTCCTCTGGATAGGTGTCGTTGAACAAGTTATAAGTCCCCGGTAAAAATTTATGGCCTGGTGTCTTTATAATGAAAGTGATTTCGACGGGCTAGATTTTCGAATGTAGGCGGGATTTTGATTTACAATCATTGTTTACAGCAGACAACGTGCCATTTGTAGCTTAGGAAACCAAAACGTTGTGTTTCGAATTAGCACGTTGGTAATTATTGTTGCCTAGGGCTTATCCACCAACTACGCAGAGTGCATAGGCTACCTTAGTCTCTCATTGAACGGATGCCAACCAATTAGATTATTTGAGACGTCCCCTATCCGATAGTGTCTACAAGGGACATTGTAACTTGGTAATTCACCCAAAAGGCAAATTTAATGACCACCCTTAGACGGCTCTACATTTAGTAGTCAACGCGTCTGCCACAACAGCCCAAGGTCATTGGCTGCCCAGCCAATCAGAATCCGCTACGGTAATTAGCTTATTAATGGGCAGGCGTATTTTATATTGCTGAACTGATTGCCTTGATGATATTTTTTGACTGAAAGCATGACTTATTTGGGCGTATTAAAAAAAGAGTAAAACGTGTGTGGTCGTTTAGGACAAACTGACGTTGCTTGAAGCAGAAATTTGTGGGAAATTCACTCACTTAGTTCGGCGTTCAAGTAGACGGCACTGGATAGTAACCAAAACGCGTTTATTTAGGCCTCTTAAAAGCTTGCACTTCAGAATAGCCTAAATACTAAAATTGTACCATTCTGTTTATAATTTACAAAGTGACGATTCAAGTGCCCAATGAAGTAAAACAATCATCGCGTTGTATCAAGAAATACTTGCTCCCAATGGATGCTCAAAACAGAAATTGAGCACATTGGACCTTCCAGGTTCAGTAGTGTCTAAGTTGCAATCAGGAAGCCAAGGGATTTTGTGTTGAACATTGCGGAGAACTTTCCATTTTTATTGCCCCGATAGCCTTATGTAAACACGCCTACAATGATGCCGCCAATTTTGTTCACAATAAAACTAAAGCAGCAAAAATTCGCAGCAGAAGTAGAAATCGAAATGATATGCTGAATGAGATATTTGCGGATCTTTTTGCAGTAAAATCGTAGGTGTAATGCACACTTTCAGTTGCTGTAAATTCCTGGTGTTTTTGTCCAAGTGAATTGGGCAGGTAAATAGTGAAAGTTGCTATCTACTTGGGTGGGCATAGGTATATTAATTCACTTTCGAGTTTACGATGCACTGAGTCTATTTTCCCCGATAAGATCTTGCCATCAAACGAAATTAAATGCAAAGCCTGTGGTTTAGTGCTTTGCCCTGTTGGCTTGAAGCCCGTGTGAACCAGCGCACTTAAAAAGATGTTAATGAGTCTTATTAAAAGTGGTCTTTGTTAACACAACCATTTTATTATTATAAATTTAATCGGATCTGTTAAAAATGATGACTGAAGGTCACTGGGAGGCTGGGCGAATTTTTGCTGTGGTCGCGGGATGGGTCTGGAACCACGGCGAGTCCACTTCGTTGTATTGACTAAGATCCTGGAAGATTGAAAAAACCGAATCCATGGGTGCGCATTCAGAGCCTCAAACGTACCTTTGAGTGGAGTTTGGAGAACTAGACTGTGTGAACCACCATAATTTTCTGCGATTTGATGACAATTCACCTGGAACCCCATTTGGTTTCACATTGTTTAAATCATTTGAAGTATGAATCGTCCGACTCAAAAATATAAATAATCTCTGTTTTCTGTGCGTGGGGTTGAGAGTCTGTGGCTTGGATTAAATGCAATCAAGTTCTGTTGAAGCACTGTGATCTAGCACGTTATTCAAGGCTTTTTAGCGGAGCCAGAGATAGACCAGGCTTTGAAATCAACAAATTTGCTCGAACACCCGGCCACTGCGCATTGCGTCGGGCTGACATTTTACATATGATTAACGACTGGTACTAGGGTATGATGTAAACATTTACTATTTTGTCCATTCCCTGTCATCCTTAGGGTTCTGTTAAGAATTAATTTTCGGCTTGAATGATTCGCACATCATTCTCATAATTTATCCGATGCGCATGCAATTAAATGACCACATGCAGTCTTCACCCGCATGTGTCATCAATCACCAGCCGTGGTAGAGCCGAAGACATTGCCAGCATTACCAGACACAGCCACCCAGTAGATGCTGGCAGGTGGTACATTAAAATCTGCGCGGCATTAAACTGCAGGTTGAAGTGTGGACAGGTTATTTTTACTGCCGTTAACAGGCCAGAATACCTTAAAAGGCTGGAGGGTGTGATAAATGTTATAATTAACGTGTTGCCAATCGGAACTGAGCAAATAACTGCCAAACTCATGACACTTAACTAAAGGAAACGAATCTTACTAAACTAACATTTAGCATATTTGCTAGTAAATGTCAAATTATCATTAGAAAATAAAAAAAACACTCAAGTATCATCTTTTACTTGACAATTTTATCTCCAGGTAATTTTTTGAATCGATTTATGCTGCGACGGGAATCACGTACGATCTAAACAAAAGGAAATTTGGGTCTTCGGTGACGTAGAATTTTTTGATTTACACTGAATTTACGCCAATCATCGATGAATTTTGAAAGGCTTTGTCGGTGGCATCCAAATTCTGTCTTATTTAGTTTACCATCGCAAGCATAATGACATCTATTTACATTAATGAATGGGTTTTTAATTAGTGCAGTTCAAACGCGACCACATAATTGATGAGGTCTTGGTAACACGGATGAAGCCTAGTAAAAATTATCCTTCTTTCTTTAAACTGAAGTTGTTCCTTGTTGCTATGCTTGGTAAGCTCTGAAGCGGGTACCCTTATGACACATTATGCAGGTTTCTAGTGGCCGCCATTACGTTTACATGATAACCGGTGGAGCAGTAATAGTGGCTCATGCTGTTTATCCACGTCTGTCGTTTTTTTACTGCTTATCCACAGCCATGCCCAAATTTCCATCCCTCTCATGACCGCGAAAATGATCAGCCAC